ATTTCTATCTCTATTATAAATAGAGGTAAGGAGGAGGTAACCGAACTTTAGCCTGTATTCTAAAAATTCGTTCGTATGGGGGCCGATATAAAGAAAGGGAGGAAGAAAGGAGAGAAAAATGAGGGAGGGTGGGGAGGAGGGGAGAAATATTGTCGCAAACGGATGACAGTTTGGAGAGATGAGATCGGCCCGGACGAAATTTTGGCAGGCTGCCAAAGATGAAAATGGAAGCATATCTCGTCTTTCTGTGGCCCAACTGCCGGGTCGACGAACCCAGCACAGATCTCTCTAGTTTCTGCGCCACCTTTCTCCCCTCCTCCCTCTCTCCTCTTTCTCTCCGCGCATTTTACCCGCGAGCTCGCATTTAGATTTAGAACCATCCCTGGCCGCTCCGGAAATCCGTCGTCGGCTCTCGTTCCAAATCGTTTCTTCCACCAGGCGATGGCTAGATCTCTGATGATATATTCCGTATCGATGGATTCTCATTCCATAACCATCGTGTTAAGTTTTAACGAAGAGTAAAAGAAACGATGGATTAAAAATTAAATATTGTTTCTCGATGAAAATATTTTCAGACTTCATTCGTTTCCACGATTACTTTCAATTATTCATTCAATTATTATAAACAATTGAATAGAATCTATGTTTTAAAACTCAGAATACAACAAATAATACACGAAAGTCACGATAATTAGAAAAATAGTGACGGAACAATAACTCGATTGTCACTCGAACAACGATGATTCCTTTGAGCATACGCGAGAAAATTTCAGGCGAATTGAAAATACCTCTCCCTCTCCCCCTTTTGAAACTTAATCTCGAAGGAGGATGAGGAGGAGGAGGATGTAACGGTTGAACTTGGACGTGGAAAAAGAGTGGCGGGATCGTGGGCGGCAGAAATTCTTCCGAGAGAGCGGCGCGTAAACGAAGGATTTAGAATGACGACGGCGACGATTCGCTACAAATAAACTCGTTGGCAGAGGCAGAGATGCGTGATGTCACCACCGAACGAGTACCAATGTCGTTTGCGCGTAATAAAATTTCGCGGCTAGCCTAGCGCGAGGATAACCGCAGTTTCTATTCTTCTGTCTTCTGTGGAAAGTTCCGTTATCTCGTATGAAAAATGTTATACACGTTTCATCAGTAGAAATTTGCATTTGAATTGTGTCGAGCAGATGTCTCTTAATTAATTTTAAAATGTAATTAGAAAGTAGCGATCTTATTGCGATGAAATGAAATTAGTTAGTCATAGATAGATATAGATGAAATTGGAGGTTAACTTTTATTAACGTTAATGCAAAAAAAAAAAGAAAATGGGTTTGTCGAAATGATCGAGTGGAAATGAAATAATATTTAAGCAAAGATACAATGTTTCATTTGTATGTACGAATGATGTACATATACGAATTAATATATAAATTTTTAATTCTTGCATTTGTATCTTTTGGATAATTTTAATAAATAATTAGGATATTTTCAAATAGTATTTGGTTGAGGAAAATATTTCAGTTTATAATATCTTGTTACAAAGAATTTTTCTGATTATATGAATATTTTTGGAAATAATTTAATTTTCTAATTTAGATTAATGAAATATAGTGGATTATGAACAAATTAAATCTCATTTACATTTCGAATTAATTGCAATTTAGAAATTTTAATTTGCAAATAGATCATAATAAAAGGTAGTCTAAATGTTTATAATTTATTCCAAGTATAATAAAATCTTCTTTTATTTCATAATATCTAAATTTACATGGATTATACCAACATTATTATCCATCTTCTTCTATAAATTTTCACATTTTACAATGTACAAAATTTAAACATAATGAATTAAATTTCTAAAATATTTATATGTTCTTATGTTTGTGTGAAATCATTGTATTCAATGTAGTAACTGTGCTGTAATCTGTTTGGCTTGGAATGTATATATCTTTAAATACGTATCTATCCATGTACGTGAATATCTATGTGTGCTATGACGAATGGATGCTGTGAAGAACGAGATTCTAGAACGAAATTGTAGTTCGTTGTAAAAACACATTATACAATTCATAAAAGATTCTATGTATAACATGGTGAACGATAAAATAACATTTATTTTATTAAATTTATATTTACTCTTTATATTTAAGAATAGTTTAATTTACAATTAAACTTGAATAATAAAATATTTTGGATTTTATAATGCATGAAGGATAAAAATAATATTTTTATTGATAGTATTTGATATGAGAATATATCTTGGATAATTACATTAATTATTTTTTCAGATAGGTTATTTTGTAATTAAAATTCTTAATTATATAACTGGAATATTGAATAATTGTAAATAATTTATATTTGCTATTAGATTTATTTTTTAATTTCACAAAAATATATTTTTTTTTAGATTAAATTTTACGAATGCATATATGTATATTTATGTATAAAACTTTTGCATATTCTATAGATAAACAGATAATTTTCTTTCATATATTTCAAATTACATTCATAAATCGATGGACTTTAATCATAAAGAGTACGAACACGTATGTATTCTCTACTCAATTCTTCCACACGTAAGAGTTAACTATATCTACCTATTTAATTATACCTTTGATCACTATGATGATTCTAACGTTGCTAATTCAACAAGTGTAACAGAGATTACGAAGATAAAATAAATTTTGCATTTATATTATTCGATATTTTTAAAACTAGTTTACAATTAAGATTAAAAAAGAATATTTTATAATAAACGAATACTCCTCCCTCATAACAATTTTTCTCGTTAAATTACCATATTCCAACGAATAAATTTACATATATATGTATAAAATTTAAATTATTATTATAATTAATATAATGCTAAATTTTCTCGATAATGAATTATAAAAAGAAGAAAGAAATTACAAGAAAAAGAAACTCGCTTTATTTTTAACGAAGTCTGTAGAACACAAGGTCTCAAGTTTTAATCTTCCTCGTTTATTTTTAATACAATCATCATAATTCATATCTGAAATATCTTCTTCTTATCGATTTTTCTTATCGATGCCTTTTACCTTCAACGATGAAATCTCATCAGTGATTCAAATTATCGTTAATGCAAATGAAAATTAAAAAAAAAATATTCTTCATAATTTGACTCCTTAAAATCGAGAAATATAATTGTTATAATTGTATATTGTTCGATCAACGATGCATTCGATTAGAAATCATTGAAATTTGAGCGTCGATTGCACGTAAATCTCGGTGGTTATTCTCAAGTATATGATTGTCGCTGCTTATAAATCTCATAATTCTTCATTTTCATATGATTACGTATATCGTGTAGAAACGGAGAAACGGTTAGTTAAGAAACGATGTAGAGATTCGTAATTTGCCAACTAATTTGCTAACTCGTATATATAATAAATTTTTATGAAATTATAATGATATAATTATAATTTTTACAATATATATTATAAAATTTCAAGTTAAATTGTGTTAAAAACCAATTATGCGTTTTCCTTCAGTATCAACAAAATTTTTTGACAACATCAAATTAGATCAAATCTTAAACGAATTCAATGAATAAATTTAATAATAATTTTAAAGAAAGTAATTTTTAATAACTCGAGGCTATTATTAACGAAGATTCATTCTTATCAATAGTTTATATCACGTTACAATTCATTTGTAAAAAAAAAGAAAGAAAAGGAGAAAAAAGAAAACAAATAAAAATAGATACTGTTCGACTCAGCTGTCATATTTTTTCTTGTCCCAACCAAGTAGAACGTACACCTTCGACTCTACAAATAAACTTATTTGCATATTGATATAATAGACACACGAACACTTTTGTTATACATACAACACAAATTTCAAATATATAACAGAATTAACACAATTTATCATTAAAATTTTTTTCCTAAAAATATATATATATATATATTAACTCCACTCTATTTTAATCATTTTAAAATCATCTTTCAACTTATAAACAACGATATTTTAATTTAACGCGGTCGTTGTTAATTCGTTCTTTTGCTTATCTTATCGTTCGTTAACCCGTCATTGTGCACACACGAATTTGCAAACACGATCGAAATTTTACGGTCCTCCTTGAGATTTGCGAAAGATTGATCTCCCCGAGCTCGCCCCTCGAGGCAGAAAAAAATTGGGTCGACGATATTTCAGCACGTTGGATAAACAAACGCGTCGTCGAGATGGTTTCTGGATGGTTTCGTCTCTTGAAAACGATTTGAAATAGATCCGGGATACAAAAGGAAAATTCCACGGGCGTGTCGTGTCTCTTAGAACGTAGATTTATCGTACTTTTTATTATATATCGATTTAATTTTATTTTCAAACATCAGTCATGTACATTATACACGATAATTTTAAAGGATTATAATTAGACGTGAAATTTAATAATTAGAAAATAGCTAGAAATATCAATGGAGCAATTGATTGAATTTAAAAGAAGACAGGAAACGAAAATTTACATTTAAATTTTTTGTTACAATTAGAATTAAAATATCGTAATTTTTTTCAATCATATTTTTCGATCACAACTATTCTTTCTAACTATGTCTTACAAATAGTATATTAAAATCTTAATTACAAAACACAATGAAATATATAATTTTTCAAAAAGATTCTTGTACAAAAGAAAACGATTTAAACTACGTGCACACACATATATTACAGTTTTCGCTTCGCAAGGGATTAAAAAGAAAAATCGAATCTCGTAACGTTGGAACGAGGTCGTTCGTAGAGCTCAATGAAACGCGTTCCCATTTTCCAATTCGATCCAACGACTAGTTGGTTTTTGCAGGTGATCTTGCGTTGAGGTTTCCTAAAATGGCAATCACATCTCGGTATTGCGCGTATCCCAGAGTATGATCTGCCTTATTACGACCGCCAATTATTGAGAAATATCGTTTGCTTTTTAACGTAATATCACGCGTGATAATAATTATTATGTTAATAATTTACGTTTTTTCTTTTTCTTGTTTGCTTTTTTTTTTTAGAGCGGAGAATGGCTGAGATTGAAGGTCCTGGAGGTTCAACCAGAACTAACGAAGCTCGGTGCCACGGTGGAGGAAGCCACCGAGCTCTCGAATGCGCACGACGAAGTTCTGCTTCGATTGCAGGTAACTGACAAACAAACTCTTCTAGAAAATTCGTTTCATCTTTGTATCTTAAAATTTATTGTTAATTTTATTGTATCTATATGTAATTTAATTTATTCAAAATTAATATAAAATTTAAATTAATTAATTAATCCAATATTTAATATTAATATTAAATTAATATTTAATGTATTATTATTTGGAAAAATTCACTGTTTTCACACTATGAAATTAAAAAGAGTATTTCTCAAATTCAATTTCCTATAAATAATTTTAATATTCAATTTTGCATCGATATTCTTCGCTATTGAATTTCAATTTTCAAATATTTCTGTTTTTACACTTACACCGCAAATATACATTGCAAGGATATATAATTGCATTGAATCAAAATTCAAAGAAATGAAGATCGTAATGCGATTATTATGCGCGTGTACAGAGGGTAAATAAGCCTTTTTTTTTTTTTCTTCTGTTCTCGACACAAGAGCAAACAGAGCCCGGTGGAGGAATTGCTCCGGCAGGCTGATCAGTTGATCTCGAACCAAAGGCCAAGAGCGGAAGTGTACGCCGCGATGGCGGAAACTTTGGGCCAAGCTTGGCGCGATGTGAACGAGCTTTTGGAACGTCGAAAACAAATCCTCGACTCGAACGTATTATTCCAATGGTTCGTACAATCATCTTGCAAACATATATAAACAAGGTGTAATGATAAAACAAATTACACGTAATATATATTAAACATTGTTACGCAAAAATATTTAATACAAGATAGTAACAGATCAATTAAAAGTGGCTTACTAATTTTCGAAAATGAGATGTAATATAATAATATATAATCTCAAATCAAAAAATTGATCAATCGAATTTTTCACAAGAAAGAAATTCTGAAATTTTCGATCGATTCTAAATCTTTATATGCGTAAAACAGATTCTTCCTTGAACAAGCAAATGTAAGATTGAAAGGAAGAAAATGTTTGATCGTGTAATAAAATTATTATACAGTCGAGCGGAGGAGTGTCGAGAGAGCATGAGAGCATTGGAGATGGCTTGTAACGACACGTTGCTGCCGATCGAGATCGAGGCGGTGAAGAATTTCTTGTCGAAAATCCACGATCTTCGAAAGAACATGCTCGAGGCGTTGATGGGCGCGTTGCAAGAGGGGAAGAATTTATTGGACCGGCTGAAGGAGATAGCGAACGAAGGCACGTTGGACTCCAGGCCTGAGAGGATCAAGCTCGAAGCTGATCACGGTTAGTTAATTGTTACGCGAAGCACAATTATACGTATCATTGTACGTACACCTTTCGCTTTTAACCGATGACACAAGCGACGTGTGTTCCTTTCGCCTCCGTTTTGGTATGCCAGAGAAGAAACGTAACGTGAGATCGAGTAGTTAATAACAATCAGCAGAGATTGTTAGAGATTTTTCAAGACTTGTCAACATCATGAAAAATAATATTTGTTTTTTTTTTTTTTTTAATAGAAGATAAGAATCTGTATACAAAATTTAAATATACACAGTTCAAGAATCTTTATATTTTTTATTAATTCGATAGAAAATAGAATTATAATTACTTAACGAGTTCTTGAATCAATACGATTATATTTTCATTCTTAAGATAAGGCTTGTTAATAAACGTGATTGTTTTTATCATTTCTCATTTTATACAGTAAAGTAATACCCTTCTCAAAACTCTTCTCAATTAATCTATAAATCTATGAATCATATTATTCAGAGACACGCATATTTAACTTTCAATATTTTATTAAAATTACATTTTATAATTAAAATATTTTTATTTCCAGCAAAATCTATTATCGAGCGAATATTTTTGTTTTTTTTGAGGAAAATATTTTCTAAAACCAATCTCTTCGTATCTTACAGCCGTGTTGAAGGTTGAGAAATGGTTGGAAGAGCTTCACGACAGGAGACGGTTGATCGAGGCATCGTTCCGCAGTAGAAAGACACAATTGGAGCAATGTCTGGCTTTAGCTCTGTTAGCGACCGATCTACGCGATCTCGAGGAGATCTTGAACGATAGAATCGCTGCTCTGTCGAGCAGCTGCGATCAGCTGGGAGATTCCGCGTCGAGCGCGGAATTGCTCCTGTTCGAATTGAAAAAATTACAGGCTGAGGCTAAGGTATTTTCTTACAACAACTAGTCCAGTTTCTTCATTAATATATAATCGATTTAAATTAATTTTTCTTTTTCTATTTATTTTACAATCTGATACAAAATATCTGTCGAATTGTTATCACATATTTTATCTTATATAATTTCTTTTCTAAGCAATTATTTTTTAAATTTATTTTGAAATTGAGATATTATTTTTCTACATAATAGAATATCTACTATATAAGAAAGGAATAGAAAGATTTAGATTTAGATTTGAATAATTTATTGAATTGTTATATATTTTATTTAAAGATACAAATATTATTATTAATTTTTCTGTCATGATTTTTGTAGTCCAATTAATTTTTCATTACATTGAAATTTGCATTTAGATTCGAAGAGAATAATTTGTTTAAAAAAAAAATATCGTTTAATATACGTTTAATTTATGTAACGATCACAGGAATTTCAAGACAGATCGATCAAAATAACGAAATCGACCGAACGATTAGTGTCATCGGGACACTTTGCCGGTGAACAGGCGACCGAACAAGCTTATGCGATCCTTGGCGCCGCGGCTGATTATGTCAATGATTTAGATCAGTATGAGTCGTTGTTGAATAGAGCGGTGGCCTTCTTTGATTCGGCAAGATCGGTGAGCATTGACCTTTTTATACTTTGTTCCATTTAAATACTTTGTCACTCATCGCCTACAAAAAAAAAAAAAAAAAAAAAAAAAATATCTAAATTACAATTACCATCAAGTATAAAGAATAATTTTGTTTATTTAGAAAAATTATTTATAATGTAGAAAACAATTTTTCATATTTCAAATCATTTTTTTTTTTTTATTTAAAAATTTTGCAATTATTTTTTATTTCCAAGGCAATCACGAAGCTAGATCAATTGGAGATTCAGTTGGTGACCACAGAGCATCCCCCGTATTCGACGAGATTAGCTCGTTTCCATGCCCAGACCGTCGCCACCATCGAAGACGTTACAGCGAAACCTTTGGCGGAAGGATACGCCCTCTTGGACATCACAGGAAGAGGAGCGCCTGGGGCTGAGGTTAGAGATCGAGAGATTAACCCGTGACAGTTGAAATTGCGACACACGCGCAGCATGCATAGTGAATGAAAATCGTTCGCGAAATTTTCAATCGATAGTAGTTTTCCTGGTAGTTTTTAATCGGCATTATTTTTCGAGTCGATTGTATTTATTTATATTTCGATAAATTTGGAAGAATCTGTATATCTTTTTTTTTTTTAAATTTTAAATTTAAGATTCTAAATTATCTAATTAATGTAGAATATATTTGTCGTGAGGGTAGTCATCATCGAGAATGACGGATGAATTATGAAAATTCATTTTATTAAAATTGTATAAGAGACGAAAATTGAATTATGCAAAGCTTATATTCCTCTTTCGAATAAAATTATATAATTTTCAAGAAATGCAGAACATTCGTAAGTAACAATAAAGATGAAAGATAGGGTAAAGAAAATATACAGGATATTAATATGTTCGAAGGACACAGGTTTGGCGAGTAGATTCTAAAACAAACGCGAAAAGTTGGTATACAAAAATTCCGATTCAGGCTTATTTACGAAGTTATAAATACGTTTTACGTTTGCTTTAGATGAAGCGAGACGAGGACAGAGTTTAAACAACACAAGCTTAAATTGCTTATTAACTCGATAAATAAACGTCGACCTACGATTTTTGCACGCCAACCTTCTCCTAGAGTCTCTAAAATTGATTCTCAAAATATATTTCACCGATCGCATTACACGTAAAATAATAAAAAAAATCACCAATATTAAAATTATCGAGTACCACGAGGAATCAATCACGAGTATTGATCTTAATTAAATAAAATAACAATTGAGTTTAACTTTTAAAAATTCTCACTCTTGCTCTTTTGAAGTTAACTCACCATCAACGATCGAGTCTCACTCAATTTTCCATTGGTAACAGGGTGTGAAACGGGCGGTGGAGGAGTTGGAGAACCGGAAGATCCGGTTGATGGAACGGTGCACGGCCCACGAGAAGGAGAATCTCGAGATATCGAGGATCATAAACACGTTCCTGGACAAGCACGACGAGCTGAGAAAGTGGTTAATGAGCATACCAGAAGCGTTTCTTCAGGGCCACCAAGACATGGGCAGCGACGTCACAATGGCGGAGGATTTCTGCAGGCTTCATCGCCAACTGTTGACCGATCTCGAGCAGAGAACCGACGAGGTCGAGCATCTCGAGTTCGAAATTCTTCCGATCAGGGAACGGCTCGACGATTCGCAGAAGTTGGAATTGCAATCGAAGGTCGAGGAGTTGAGGAACTCATGGTCGAAGACAAAGGATTTGGTGGCGGGAAGAATCGATTTAGGGTCCCTTTACCTTCAATTCCACGTGGTGGTCGAGGAGTTGACGAAGGAGATCGAGTCCATTGAAGCCGAGTTGAAGAGGCACGTTGACGTTTTGGACGAGGGAAGGATCGAGCTGATTGGAAGACGTTGGAAGGATCTTCAACCACTTTACGTGAGATTAACCGGTACAGGGAAGGCGTTCTTGGATGCTGCTGTCAAGGTATTCAGATTCGTTTAATTTTTAACGATTTTTTTTTTAATCTTTTACGATCTTCTTTTTTTTTTAAATTTTATTTTTCCAGATCGACGATCCCTATTTGGATGTGCCGAGGGCCTGCATATGCGTTCAGATGCTTTTAGAAAAGTTTGCCAATAAACAGTTGACCGTGACGGAATCGTGGGAGAAATGGCGAACCACGATCGAGATTTTGAGGGAGAAACGGATCGAGCATGAACGAAAAATAGAAGAAAGTACAAGGGTAAATTTATCGAATTCGAGTATTTCTATTTTTATTAATTTTATTATTTATTTAATTGTTTATTTTTCCCAGACGATGGAATGGGTGTCTAAATTCAGCGAGCAATTGTATCCAGTGATCACGTCTCTTTCTCATCAGACAGCGAACATTCTCCAAGATCTGGCAGGATCCAAAGATCGTATCCTCCCTGAGTTGAACAAAGCTGTGGACGAGTTGGATTCAAGGATCAAAGGACTCAATGCTTTGGCACAAAAAGGTAAAATTAAATTCTAGAGATATCTATATTTTCGATGATTCGAAAATCTTAAGTGAAATTTTATATTGAAAAGGCGAAGTGCAAATCGAGGATGAAATCTTGAAGAGGCTTCGTCAGATGCACGAGAATCTTCGTACGACCGCCAGGGATTATGAAAATCTCCTCGAATCGTTGATCTCTATCTTCAAAACTATCGAAGAGGTATGATTGAAATAATTAAATATATCGTTTTTAACAAATTTTATAACAATAATTAAGAATTTGTCACAACATTTTTCAAATTTAATTTAACCATTCTATTCAAAACCTAACGAAGTAGTAAATTTTAAATTGCATTCTTAATTTCGATAAAATTTGCATTTTTCACGGAAGGTGGAGCACAAAATCGAGCAGCTGAAGAGTCAAGTATCGCGTGTAACGTCCCTGAAAAAATTATCCGAAGTACAGGCTCTATTCAACGAGCTGGACGCTATGAGATGGTCAATCTCCGAGAGGCAGAGTGAGATCGGATCGAAGGTGAGAGAAACGATGGTTAAAATCGAGCGGCAGGAACCACCGGAGGCTGGTGTCCACGACATCGAGAAATTGAGACGCGCCTTGGACTCGTTGTCCACCGATTTCGAAGTGTTTTGGTCACAGACCACCACCAGAATCGAAGAGTATCGGCGAACTTGCACCTTCGCCGAGGATCTAGAGAGGATCGAAAATGAGCTGCTCGATTTGAACGAACATTTGAAAAAGGTGGATACGAAGATCGGTGAGAATCTTCAGACGGCAAGGGCCGCCGCTTCTTCGTTCGTGCAGTTCGAGAAAACTGTCACGGTAAGAATTATTACGATTTCTTTTGGGGTGGATGACAATTTCAGCAATGTTTTTTTTTATTTTTAAATTATTTCTGTTCTTTTGGTTGTTTCTGGTAATTGAGATTTGGATATAGGTAACAATAGAATTTTTGTTTGTATAAATCAGAGGGATAGATAAGATTTTACAATCAAGTTGTTCATATAGTAGAGATCCAATCTAATTCTCTTCGTTGAGATATAAATAGAGATTTCGTGAAATATTTTATCCAAATACATATTTTAAATTTGGAAATAACGTTTCATCGTCTCATATTTAATGAATTGATTCTTTTATTATGTCAATTTATTTAAAAAATGTCTAATTCTATTATAAAAATATTTGTTAACGATAATTAGATATTATCTAAAATTTTTAAGTTTGCAATCTACTATAATAAATTTTATTGTATTTTTTTGTTGCAATTAACAAGAAATTATAAATATTATAAATATATACTACATTTTGCTAAATAATATTTTAATAATCTTTTTTTTTTTAATATAACTAATAGTATCAAAAATTGTTTTTACGCTTATCGTAGGAAAATACGTGGGAATGGTAAGCAGAAAATGTTTAAAATCAAACGAATAATATATGCAACTTGTATGTTTTCGATTTTTTTCATTGATGATATTGAAATAATTGAAAGACAACTTAAATTTATTTCTCGTTTTATAGATTTTGGAAGAGAGGATCGAGACCTTTGTGAGAACGACAGAAGAGTCGATCAATGTTTTGACGCCTCAAATCATGAAGGATGTTTCCTCGTTGAGAGAAAGATGGAGAAATTTGAAGAGGAAGATCGAAGAAACGAAGAAACGAACGAATTTGGCCATAGAGTATTTCATGCTCCTGGAGGAAGCCAAGGAATGGAATAGGGAGGGTAGTAAATTGTTGGTGGTGATAGCGAGGAAGGCAACCACGGTAAAGACGCCTAAAGACGCGATGGTGTTGCTTCAAGAAATTGAGAGTTATCTGAAGCCAGGTGAAGAGATGCAGGAAAAGAGAATCGAAAAATTAAAAGAATTGTCGACGATTGTTTTTGGTAAGTGAGAAAAAAAATGTTCGATTTAAATTCGAAAAATATAAAAATTTTTACATTTTTCTTTTTATATTATTTTTAGACACGGATAGATTACCACAGTTCAACGAAGTCGTCGTCGAGAATCGGCAGATGTTGGATTCCTTCGCCGTCATTTCATCCGAGCTACGAACGCTGGCCCAAAATTTGAAAAATGCCGAAGATTTACAAGAGAAATTAAGAATAGAAAAACGGGAAGCGGATGAAAAATTACAAGCCGCAAAAATGGAAATGGCTGCCGCGGAGGCAGCGAGAGAAGAAGCGGAGAATGCGAAGAAAATTGCCGAGAAATTAGCGGCTGAAACATTGGAAAAAGCAACCATAGAAGCGAAAAGATTGAAGGAAGAGAGAAAAATTCAAAAAGTTTCTACTCCTCCATCGTTTTCGGTGTCGGCACAAACGGAGAAGATCGAAACTGATGAAAGTTATGTCAAAGAAATGATCACTTCCGCCACCATCAAAAAAGAAATACACATCTTACAGAAGGTGACAAAATTGATAATAAATTATTTTAATTGAACAATTTTAATCGTCAATACGAGTTTCAGATTCATAAAATAAATGTTAATTATTTTTCCAAGAAATCTAAAAGGAAAATAATATATTTTCAATTTATTATATGATATTACACAAAACACAGTAGACTGCCAATTTTTAAATGGCTAAAACATATTCAATTATTCAATTAATATAAAGAAAATGTATAATATTATATAAAACAAATGATGTCTTTACGACAAATCATTAACATCGATTTTTTACGTAAAAAAACATGAAAAAAAATTAAAAATTTTGTTACCAAAACCCACTCGAGAAATAGAGAAATCCATGCCATTGAATCTCCTTTTTGTTTTATCTCGATATCTCAATCCATCGTTGAGATATAAGCACTCAAAGTCATCGTAATACTTAATACGGCGCGGAGATTATGAATGGGTTAGTGACCTACATTTTTTCCTGGAAATGCGTATACGTTTTTCCAGGAATCGCGCTGTCGCTTGTCTGCAGTTTGGGATAGGTAAGTGAGACGAGGTGCGAGCGAGAGATCCGAGTAAGGGAAAAGGACGGAGATAGTAAACGATCAAAAATTACCTTTTTCTTTACACGATGATATCTCAGGAACCGGAAGTCGTATCGAGATAAATCAAAAAGCATTTTAAAGGGCAAGCTTCCGCGATTCTAATGATCATTTACTCGTTGATTGAAAGTCATTATCATTGAAGTTATAACGGTTTAAACTTTTTTTAATTTTAATACCGTTTTATCAGGTTTAAGGTAAGCGGTTAAAAATCATCTTTTTGTTTACACGATGATATCTCGAGAACAAGAAGTCGTATCGAGATAAATCAAAAAGCATTTTAAAGGGCAAGCTTCCGCGATTCTAATGATCATTTATTCGTTGATTGGAAGTCACTATCTTTGAAGTTATAGCGGTTTAAAGTTTTTTTAATTTTTAATAAGATTTAATCAACTTTTGAGAATTATGCTGTATAAATATATTCATTTTTGGAATAAAAATTGCTCACAATTATTTCATCAACGATATATTGAAGATTCTAAAGAAAAGTTATTCGATTGAAGTAAATTATACTTTTATTTGTGTTTAATTATATTGATATTGTTGATTTTATAATTTTTCAAGATAACTGTGATGATATTAGAATTATTTCATATAAATTAAATATTGAATTTGTATTCCAGACGGAAATTGAGAAAAGGGTACCGTCTCGTGAACCAAGCCCACAAAAGAAAATCATCACCGAAGAAACTCGCGAAAAATCAGTTGAAAGAATGCACAAGGAAAATGTTCCATCATTGGCACCAGAGTTTACGATTCCTTTACATGACGCCACCGTACAGGAAGGAGAGAAATTCACCTTCCAGTGCAATCTCATTGGCCAACCAACACCGGAAGTAATATGGTACAAGGATGGAATCTCGATTTTGAATAATCCTGATTACTTGACCACTTACATTCATGGAATTTGCACATTGACGATCGAAGAAACTTTTGCCGAAGATTCTGCGAAATACACTTGCAAAGCCTTCAATATAGCTGGATCAGCGGAAACTTCCGCCACATTGACTGTCAAAGGTGATTTTGCAATTTTTAACATTTCATTTTATGAGAAATTAAATGTCTATTTAAACTTGTAGCTTTTGAAATAATATTATACATTGAACTATCGCTTTTAATATTTTTAAATTTTCATCAATTTCTTAAAATTTATTTTCCTCTATAATAATTTAAAATTTTATCCTTGTAATATTATGCGAAAAATATATACTCTTTTCGAAAGATAAATATTTATATCATAAAATAAAATGAAAGTAAAATGACAGTGTTTCATTTCAATTTATTTTTTTAAATTTAAGCTGTGTTACAATCTTTTTCAAAGATTAATTTTATTTTAAAATGTTTAGTATCACACATTTATCGTTTTATAAATTTGATTTTTAGAAACTGCACCGGAAGAGCAACCGAGTCCTCCAGTTTTCGTGAAAGAGTTGATGGCCTCAGTGGCTTTAGAAAATTCTTCTCATCGATTGGACTGCATCGTCGAAGGTAATCCACTGCCAACCGTCCAATGGTTCAAGAACGACCTGAACATCGATAATTCTCCCGATTACGTTATCACTTATAATAATGGCGAGGCTGTATTAAAGTTCGAGGAAGTTTTCTTGGAAGACAAAGCTACTTACACTTGCAAGGCCACGAATAGATTGGGCCAAGCCTCCACTTCCGCTTTTCTCGACGTTGAACGTGAGGAATTATACATTTTATCGCTGAATAATTATATTTGAAAAAAATATAATTGTATATCCAGAAGTAAGATTCGCTTTATTGTTTTACTTACAGCTGCGGAATTCACTTCGGAGAAACCATATTTTGTCATACCTCTTTCGAATGCCATGGGAAGAGCAGGTCAAAGGGTGAAACTCGAATGCGAAGCGAAAGGGAATCCTATGCCCGCTTTAACTTGGTATCACGATGGAAGACCCGTCGAAGAAAGCATGAATTTGAAGGTAATGTATTCATTTGATAATTAAAATTTATATTATTTACAAAATTTTATATTTGACATGCAATAAATATTTTAAAAAATTTTAAAAGCAAAATATAAAAATTTCTTTCTTTAATATTTCTTTTTTTCTATAATATTCATTTCAATTTCAATCGATTTTCCAATGAATTTTGAACATAATATTTAATAAAATTTGTTTTCATTTTTATCACTGATATAAATTTCTATTTTTCTCCTCATGAAATTAGACATCTATTGAATTCTTCCTTTATTAATACCTTTAGTTAGTTAGCACTTAAATATAGTCTTGCAATCTTAATATAGTCCAAAAACGATTGACGAGCTGAAGAATAATATTGTTCAGCCACCATAAACTTTTCAATCAATTTCACTTCAATCTAAAGATCTTCTAATTTCAATGACATTCTTCTACATCTCCATTCTCTTTCAATTTATTTTACATTTTAATATTATCACGATAATAAAAGCAACTCAGCCCATTAACCAATTCCAACAAAATCAATACCGTCTACAAAAATAAACAAATCCGATCAATCTTAAAGAAGAAGAAGATAAAGAAAAAAAAAACAAAACGACGTAATTTTTCAACGAAAACATCGTCTTCGTTTCCTCGTCTTCTCTCGCTTCCACGGTCTCCTCCATTCGAGGCGAGGCGACCTAAGGAAGCAGCGTTAATTATAGCCGGATCGTGCACGCGCCGAATTCGAAATAAAGCAACGCGATCCGAAAACGAAGAATTGAAACTTGTGAGCTCAGGGATTCGCTGTTTTAGATACAAATGGACGGTGGACGGACCAGTTTGGTCATCTCGGAGGCGTTCGCCAAGGATGCCGGATGTTACACGGTCGTCGCCAAGAACGAAGCGGGCGAGGCCACGGTCTCTTGCAACGTGTCCGTGAAGGGGCGGCTTCCGCACGAGACGAGCGACTCGGAATTCGCCTGCAGCGACATGGAGCCCGTCGTGCCCAAGATCCAGATGCCGTTGAAGGACCTCAAGATTCAGGAGGGCCTCTCCGTTCGCCTCGACTGCGTGATCGTTGGACAACCTGAGCCGGAAGTGAGTGTTTTGTTAACTCGAACGGGTTTATTCTCCATTTGTTTTACGGGATATTGGGCGAATATCGAGCTTCTGAAACGATTCTTAGCAAGGGTAAAAATGGTTTGGAAGTCTCTCTCTCTCTCTCTCTCTCGAAAGTATTTATTGATTGGGTTAAAATATTAGATTTTTAATAAGAAGAGAGGAAATAAGAGTCTATGTAAAATAAGTTTCGAGAATTTTATAATTTTTCAGATATCATTATAATGTTCCATTAGAAATGAGATTATTATTTTGAAAATTGGATTTGATGTAATTTATCATATATTCAAAGATATTTTGAATTTGTATTTGCTGTAAAAAATGAACTTTAAATTTGCGATTTTCGAGAAAAATCTTGTTATTATTGAATTATATTATAGTTGAATTTATTTTTATAACAGAAAATTTGTAAATCTGTTGGGACAGGTGATTTGGTATCACGACGATCAACCTGTGAAGGAATCGGCCGATTTCCAGCTGTTGTTCCAGGGTGACAAGTGTTCCTTGGTCATTCACGAGGCTTTCTTAGACGATGCTGGTGTGTACAAAGTAGTCGCCATTAATTCTGGCGGTGAAGCATCTAGTCAGTGCACATTAACAGTGACACGTAAGTAATCATTGAATAGATTAAGATTTAATAAATTTAAAAATTTTCTTTATTACAATAATTGTAAATTTCTTATTTTCTATTAATTTATTATTTTTACATTATATAAATACATTTTGATTATTAGTGACATTTAAAAATATCCATTCTTCAATAAAATGTAAATCTTTAAAATTTTAAACTATTAAAAAAGAATGAAGAACGAAAAAAGAATGATCATTGATGACGTGTATCAATTTTTTTATATTTGAAATATTTTTCAAGAAATAAATTTAATTTTATGGAATATTCACATTATACATACATGATTAGAATCAAAAATTCATTCGTATGTCATAGAATAATTTTCAAAATTCGGTCTACTAAGCTCACAAACGAAATAATTATTCCAAACATTTCTTTACTTAAATTAAAAATTTCATATTCGTTTTAATTTTATATAATTATATAATCTCTAAACAAATAACGATAAAATGTTTCAGCGGTTACTGTTTCGGAGAAATTGGACAGAGCGCGAACAGAGATCGAAGAAACATTCGTCGCTGGTTCGCCACCAAGATTCGTCAAACTTCCAACCGATTCTCTCGTAGCGGAAGGCGAGACCGCCATTTTCGAGTGCGCGGTGGTTGGAGAGCCGAAACCGGAACTGAGATGGTTCTCCGACAGTGGCGAGGTCACTGAGAACGAACGCATTCTGGTGAGTGTTCTCTAAAATAAAATTCATAAGAATTTCCTGCCTTTTCTTTTGTATTTATACGAAATTTACGATTTGTTATACGATTCGCAATAAATAACGTACGTTTATTATATAATTTAAAAACGAAAGAACGAAGGATTGTATTTTTTTAAAATTAGAAAAGTATGAATCATTCTAGAAAATATTTACTTATTTTTATACGATAAAATAAACACGTAATAATTAATATATTAATTCGAGTTTTAAAAAATTTATCAATTTAAAATTTATCAATTTAAAATTTACGATATGTGAGAATCTTTTTATAAAAATAGTATATTTGTTTAATATTAATATAAAATTGCAATGCAATCTCGAATATAATACACATTATACATAATTTTTAAATAATTTTTCCACGAAAGTAAGAGATAAAAGTAATAATTTATTCAATATATTCTTTACTTTTGAATTCTTTCTATTCTACATTTTTGAAATATGCATTCGTTTTAACTAATATACTAGTATATATACAAAATTTTGGAAAATTAAACGACGGTCAAAATATTTTCAAAAAGTTGAAAAGTGAATAGGTAAAATTATTTTTCTTCGATCTCCAACCAACGGTTTTCTTCGAAGATCTTTAAATTGATCGTAATTTTTGTTTTATCATTCAGATCCAGCGAAAGGAGGATGGAACGAGCATCTTGAAGATTTCTTCGGCGATTCCAGAGGATAAGGGAAATTACGTGGTCAAAGCGTTCAATGAACACGGAGAAGCGAAAGCTTTCGCTCGATTGGTTGTCAGATCGTTGGGTGACTTTAGAAGGAAGGAAGAATTTGTAAAGATGGAGGAGAAACTGATTGCTCCCACGTTCAAGGAGAGATTCGAGGACAGAAGAGTGATCGAGGGTGTCTCCACGAAATTTGAGTGCATCGTGGTTGGAAAACCATCTCCAAAAGTAAGATATTATTATTCTTCTGTTCTATTTTCGATCGTGCAAATCATAATTATTAATAATGGGACACTTGGGTAAACAACAAATATATGTGGGATAAAAGAATATAGGATATAGGCGTAGAAAATAGATAACAGCTATATGGATGAAGACTGTATGCATAAGAAATAAGTGTGGAGCATGAGTATAGAGAATATAGATGCATAATATAGAGTATAGAATATAACTTTTAATTTTTTATATTTTATATTAGAATAATTTTTATATATAAACATGGAAATTATGTTTCTTTTCTTAATTCAATTTATTAACGGATATTGAGAAAAGCTTTAAAAAAATTTTATCTCTAAAGAATTTTAATGCAAAAACACAAGTATATAGCTATCATATTTTCGATGATACATATAAATTAATAATGGATAAAACTCTTTAATTACAAGCTGTTCTAAAATTAAATATTTATCTTTACAATTTATCACATTTATTTGGAAAAAATAATAAACATTTCGATATCGATATCATTACATCATAAAATAAATATCAGTTTCAATATTGACTGTCACTTGACTATATATCATTCTCGATCGCAAAAAGAAAAATTATTTAATTCAATCAAAGGAAAAGCAAAACTTGACGATAAATTAAACGAGGGAAGAAAACAGTTCCCCAAAGAAGAAAATTCACAACAATCAAAAAAACAAACAAAGTCACAAGAGAGACGTTGAAGTTTCTGTCAAGCAACTTTCTTGAGAAAAGAAAAACGATAATCTTCGAAACAAGAGATCGTACAATTACAGTTTACAAAATTTATCCACGAAACGAGGATCGTAATCCATGAACATTATTCCAGACGAGCGAAACTTCGTATAATCCAAATAAAATGATACCCAATAAAAACTTCAAACTCTTTGTCAAACAAACACGTTATCACGTGACCAACCTTCAAAACACGCGTTCAAACTCGCACCAACGCGTTAAACGTCGCTAAACATTTCACAATTACCCATCGATGAGCAATAATTATTTTATTAGATCGATTCTCGAGGCGTCTTGAATTTCGTCTTGAATCGTTTTTCGAAGGTGTCGAGGAAAGATGGGTCGCAGAGTTGGCCAGCCTGACAGGAGGTGGCCAACCAAGAGTAATTTCGTTAGCCTCCGGGTTATATTTAAACGGGAACAATGTACCTGATGTGGAAATTCGCGGGTGCAGCCGCGCCGCGAGGTTCTCCGCGAAATTTTCAGTGATAATCTTGTTGAACAGGTATCGATATTTCGTTCGTGAACTTTCACCTTTCCATCTTTATATCTTTTCAACAATTGTCGATTTTATTTATAACGGGAAACGAAGATTTCTTCTTTTTTTTCTCTCTCTCTATTCGAAATATACTTTTCACGAGTAATGGGAGGAGATATATTTTCTTTCTCGTGATATTAGTAATAAATTTGTGTACGCGCAGTTCTATTGAATAGAACTTCTCGATACGATCTTCTACGAGAAGTTGTACGTAGTTCGAAGACGTACGTGGAAACTGGTTTGTTCGTCGAGTACCATTTCGTGGAATTTTCTGTGCCATTCGTGGGTCGAGTATCGTACGAGTAGTTTATATTTCAGAATTTTGTGATGCAATCCATTCGGAATACGTGCTCTCATTTGTAACTGTACGAGAACGCGTTCTCTCGTTCGATCAAGTCAAGGAAATTTATCTTCCTTAACTGTAATTTATTTTCACGTGTGTCCAAGTATTAAAAAAAAAAGCTTTGAAATTTCTTTGGATTATAACATAAAGATATCGTTATGTAATGTATTAATTAATGAAAATATGTAATTTTATATATAATTGCGCATATTTGGAATTAATATAAATATATATCGAATATTAATTGATGTAGAATGTAATTTCAGATTCAATGGTTATTTAACGATCGCCCCGTCCACGGCAAGGACTTCTTGGTCTCGGTCAGCGGGGATCGACAAGTGCTGACGATTCCAGAGACCGGAAGTACGCATGCCGGTACGATTTCCTGCGTGGCGGAGAACGCTGCTGGAAAAGCGATTTGCAGTGCTCGTCTAGAGATCGGTAAGCAATTTATACTTAATCTAATTTAACCTCGAAAATCATTTCAAACAACCGTTGCTTCTCATTAAGAACGAAAAAAATTCATTATAATTTTTCTCTTTCGTTTCTCATCTCTCATTATCCATACTATACATATTTTCACAATTATCACTTAATATTATTATTTTATTTTACTTCTCTCGAATTAATAATTTTTTCTTTTTTTTTTTTTTCGTATCGCCAATTACATTAACTTAAAAATACTCTTCCACGTGGACGGGTATCGAACGCGCCTCCCTCGAGAATAAAAATAATACCAATTCTCCGGCAATATCTCTCAAATTTATGCTCCCATCGGGACTCGACCACAAATTCCAGTATACAATATAGAAATATCCCCGATCCGATTTCGATCTTTTCGCTCGAGACGATTACGATTTTTTATTGCCAGCCACAATTTACGGTAAATTGGTTAGCGCGTTGCCAAAATACCGGCAACGGTGCCACCGAGTTATTAATACGCGTTTATCCAAGTCGAATGGCAGCTTCATTCACCAAGCTGGCCGATCTGCGACTTCGGGCGCTGTCATAGCGAAAGAGAGAAACCTCGATGATCGAGAAAGGGATGGATGGTTCACGTAGGCGCGGATAAGAGATGTTGCGACAGCGACGAACTCTCTGAAATTCGACACCTCTCTCTCTCTCTCTCTCTCTCTCTCCCAGTGGCGTGAAAAATTGCACGACCACCCACGGCTTTGGAAATTCGGTTTCGTTTCTTTTGTTGAGAGCAATTTTTTTTTTTTTTTTTTTTTCGATATCTCTTCCGTTTCCTCGGTTGAAATATTCATGTTACGCTTCGATTTTGTATACGAATATTTTCCATATCTTCTCTCCTAATTTTCCTTTATTTATAAATTCAGGGCCGTATTTATTTTTTATTCTTCTAGTCTTCTCAAGCACGACATTTATTAGCAATCAAATGTTGTATTTTTAAATAAATTTAATATCTATATCTGTTCTATCTTGTGAGTATAATTGTTTTTTATATTAATTCCATAGAGAAATCGAATAAATTTAATTCTTTGTTTTCATTTGCATTTTCATATTTATTTTAAATATCGCGAGTTTTCCTTTTCGCCGAATTTCCCTTTAAATATTTTCTACGCATTACATTTTCTTTACATTTGTTTGGAAAACAAATGTTTCATCTTCTCACGGGGAATAACTTTTCTATCGAAATAACATGAGCGAACGGTAGCGCCATTCTTCTTCCCGGGCCGTGCGTGGACCGAAATGGTAAATATTGGTTTCCGTTTCGCCATCGAGTAAACTCTTTTCGACGGGGTACGCCCGTATCCCATGATCCATTACCGCGAACCAGCCTGTAATATAGAAGGGAGGGTCTTATTTTTAACCAGGGCGACTAAACAAACTCTTTTCTCTTCTTTCACCGACGAAAAGTCACTTTGAGTCACGACTAATATTAGGTCGGTGCACATGCCGCGGCAATTAAATCTGACGTTTCTACGCCCACCTGTACGTGTCCATGTAGAACACGATCCGTGTAGAAACATTAGTCTGCCCGATCGATTCGCTTTACTCCTGATTTTATAACGTATGCTCCGCAAATTGTACACCAAATTGTCCGTGAAATCCGTGATTTTTGTAAAACACAGGTTCCGTGAAAATAACGAGTTTGTTCAAAGTGCTTCAAATTGATATATATATATATATATATATATATATATATATTGTATATTTTGCAAACTGTACAGGAGCATGGTGTATAAGTGAGGATAGGAAAAAAGTGTTTTATATAAATTTGTTAGTAAATGATTTGTTATTAAGCGTTATAGGCAAATATTGAACGTGGTCTGAATGCATGTTCTCTAATGCAATAGCAGAATTCACTGCTATACTCAAATTCAGATTACTTTGATATCGTCCTATAATTTTGCAATAAAGTATTTATACATAAATTTTTATGTAAATAATTTTTTGTTTTTAATTTTCATATACAGTTCACATGTTTCTTCACAACTTGGCAAAATAGTGGCCAAAACATTCTGTGTGCAATCTATTATATAAATGCTCGTACGTACATTCACATTCAAAAATTGTTGCACTATTCGTTTAAAATAGATAAAATTTAAGTAGCTGTTAGATGTGAAGAAATATTTTTCTATTTTCAATAATAATTAATTGTGTAATTCTTTGTGGTAATTTTATGAAAATATTCATCCAATTTAATGTTCATTATCTCCAACAAATATCTATCATCCTGTAATACTTTTGAGTAAGAGTGTATACAAATTATCGATCAAATCTATGATAAAGAAAATTTGTGTTTGTGTACTGCGTTTATAATGATATTATTTCACAATTTCGTTATTTATTACGAGTTTTGACGTACACTGCCAAAAATTTTGAATTATTTTTCCAGTAGCAGGTACATCGAATCTTTTGCTAATTTTATTATTAATTTTATTAATTTCTTTTTAATAGATTTTATATTTTTAGCAAAATTCTGATTCTTCTTTTTTCTTCTTCTTCTTAAATTTTTGAAAATATGGAAAATCTTTTTGTTCAATAATGTACACAGTTTCGTACGAATATATATACTTCTTTTTATATTTTAGTTTTTATCGATAACATAAGAGACGAATGGATTACATTGAACTCTTAATAGAAAGTTAATGCTTATGGATCAGGATTAATTTCTGTAATGTAAACAGTCAATGTTACCGAATTAGTAACAACGTGACCATCAAACTGCTAGTGCACCTCCAAAGTTTGAACTCCAGAAATAACATCATTATGGTTCAGTCTGATTCAACATTCCGGAGGAAAATATAAGGATGAATTTAACATCGTCCCAAAAATATATCATATCATTTGTTATTATTTTCATTAATCTAACAGTTCTGAACATTTTATCATTAAAATTGAAGGAACTAAGTTAAAATATTTGATCATTGTAAAACATTATTATTTTTGAATTAGACTTTCTATTTATCTCCAAAAAATCACAAATGACAAGATAAAACCATACGAAACTTAATTTTCTAGTAGGAATTAAAAAAATATTGACAAATTCTAACAAACTCTTCTTTCAATTTATCAATATTTATCTTCAGATATAACATAAATAATAAAATTGAAAAGTGTACACAATATGAGCTTTACCAATTCTTAAACACTTTAATTTCTCTTTAATGAATTAAATTTCCTTTAATAAACACGTTACAATACATATAAATAATCCAAATGCACATCTAATTAAATCACAAAACCGTGACGAATAATCATAAAATTGAAATTAAATTAAAAATTCAACGAAATTCATTCATCCTTCCCCTTCTCCCCCAAATTTCGTCAACGATGAAAACACACAATCCCCCTATTACCAAAAATTCCTTTCCAAATCATCAACGAAACCACTTGAACAGGGTGCACCATCCCCTCGAGGACAGGTCAGTTCCATTCGATTTCCGTGTTCTCTTAGCCCCCGTGCGAAAAAGAGGAGGCCTGTCTCTCTCTTTTTCTCCCTCCCTCCCTCCCTCCCTCTCCCTCTTTCTCTCTCTGTTTCTCTTTCTCTCTCTCTTGGTCGGTGCACACACGCATAAAGCGCGTTATTTTTGTCGACACGAATACCCGGCGCGTAGCCTAGTCCAGAGTCGCTAACCCAGGGAATTCGAGCGCGTCTTCTTCGGGGAGCCTCGCTCCTATCGTGCCCATTCGACTCGACCATCGACTCACCCCATAAATCGACACGAGATTCGTTCGAGCCGCGGGTGATTTACGAATCTGCAACTTGTGCTCGAGGTAAATGGAACGTGGGATTTGTGATCGATTGTGATTGTGTCTCGAGTGTGCTTTAGGCTAGATCATGTAATTAATGTAAATTGAATCAAAAGTTGTACAATTAATCTTGGACTTTTGGTGATTAAATTTGTAAATATTATAATATTTATTAGTGTTTGAGGTTGATCAGAAGAATATACTTGTGATAAAAGAAAATAATATTGTAATTATAGAATTATATAGTCGTTGAATATATATATTTATTAATCAAAGTACGTTTAAAAATTTTATCAAAATATACAATTTTATATTATATTAGGAGATTAATTATTGCAAATTTAGAACAAGTTTATTTCTTTATATAGAGAGTTTTGTCAAGTTTTCTTTTTTTTTTCTGAATTTTGAATTCAACAATTATTAAATTTACTTGCAAAAATTTACTTTTCAAACTTATTCGAAACTCTAATTCGAATTTAACTCAATCCTTTTCACCTTTCCAAAACAGGTGACCGTAATTCGAAATGTCATTCGAAATCCCGCGCTCGAATTAATAAATCGGGTGGATTTCGATCTCGTCTGCTAGGTGAACTATTTCTGTCTTTGATTCGTGGGCAAGGTATTTTGTCGGCCCGTGAGAAGGGCTCCCTACGGAAAAAACCAAGAATCGATACGAGTACAAACACTCACAACTTTTACCTTTCGACAAAATCGATAAAGTTCGAAAATCGTGTAACCAATTTCTCAGAGAAAAAAAAAAAAGAAAGGAGAGAGAGAGAGAGAGAGAGAGAAGTTCGACGATGAACGCGAGGGAATAAATTTTAGATCCTCCGTAAATAACGCTTTCGCTGGACCAATGACTCGAACTCGGATGTTTCGTGATTTCGTGCGTAAATTCAGGACGAGTTGTGCCGAATTTTCGCGGTCCAGATATGTCGGGATGAATTCTCGGTTCGAGAGTATCACTTTTTGGTTCTTGGCCAATGTACACACACTTCTTTCGATTAGCGTGAAACTTGTTGCAGTTCGTGCGATGCAAATTTTAATCAATTCTTTTTTTGGGAATAAATTAGGTTTAGGTTAACAGATTATATTTATTTTCTAAATTAATTAAAGCTTGAAAAATTTTTATTTTTATATTATTTATTATGTTTTTTTTATTAATCGTAATTGAATGCAATGATTGTTAGAAAATTCATTTTATCAATTTATAAGTGGGAGATAAATATGGGTAATAGTTATAAATTTATATATTTTTCATTAAATATATATATTTGTTTCTTAATGTACCAAAAATTTTATATAATCTTACAGATATATATGAATTATGTTATTTGAATGAGTAAAGATAAAAATTTTAACATTTGCTTTACATTTTGGTAATAATATTTATTAATAGTACAATAGCAATATATATATATTAATAATTCTCTCTTTGTGTAATACAATATATAAATATACATGTATTAGTAATTATTTTTCTCTTAGATCTAAGAGTTTATCTTAGATCAAATTAATGCAAATAAATTAAATTAGCAAAGCAGTATTAAACTTCATTATAAATACAATCTTACAGAATCACAATTCTTTAAGTGTAACTTAATATTACAAAAGAAAATATTCACTCGTATATCTAACTTATTTCTGATAGAGTCTTGAGTCTCGTTCATTTCAACAGCAGCAACAACCGTATGAAACTAAACTGTTTCTTTCTCCGAAGAAAAAGATGTGATCGAGGTCATACTTGTTATCTCAAAATTTCTTAAAGGAATAAATTTCCATTAAAAAAAAAAAAAAAAAAAAACTAGTATTCTCCATGACCATGCCCATAAAACACGCGATTCTCATTAAGATTCTTCGATGTTTCTTTCGTTTACACGCCAATTACACCTTTTTCCTATCTTTCAAAAAAAAAAAAAAAAGAGAAAGGTGCGAAAATATTTCTAAAAGAGGATCTAGAGAGGTTCATTCCCACGATCGACACGACTTTTTTCATTCGTTCACGACGTTTGACTAACGTCTACGTCCTCGAGTTCCGTTTCCGGTTGCCGCTCAAAATCGAATAGACGCGGAATTTTTGTAGGATTTCTTGTTGCACCATCCACGCGGATTCCAATTCGACGATTCTAATGGCATTAAAACGGGCCAACTATTAATACATCCGTGATTCAATATATTAATGTGACTCGATTTTCGAGCATTTCGTGATTTTCGATCGATACATTTACATAAAATAAGATTTTAAACATAACAGATTTTACATATAAAATAAGATCTTAAAATAAGATAAGCTTTTTAAAATAAAATAACGAAGAATAATAAAGAAGAGAGTTTTTTGTAGTCTTATAAAAATTCTTTTCAATTATGTAAATTGATCCATTGTGATTTTTTTCCTCGTTAATTTATATTATTAAAAATTTTTTTTCGATAAATCAGTTAAGGAGAATTTTAAGATAATTCTGGCTTTTGGCTCGTTGTTATTTTTCTCTATAACTTTTTCGAAAATTGAGATAAATTAAAATTTTTCCATTATTTTAGCTTAATAACATGTATGATGATTAATTCCTTACGTTGATAATGCAATAGGATATTCAAGTTTAAAATTCTCAAAATAGTAAAAAATATTTAAAAAGTTGTCATATGAATTTATTATTCTATTTTCCAGCAGAAAGTTAAAAATTGATGCCTTGAATATTTTTCAAATCATGACAAAAATAAAAATTGATCAAAATCCATCAATTTAAAGTATTCAAAGAAATATTCAATATTTTTTAGTGACCTTTTATTCGTGTCTCTATAACACGGTATAATATATTTGTGTATTTCATACGATATGTTTTTTTCCTTTGACAAATGTGCTCCATTTTGTTGAGTGAAATTATATTTGGTATGCGTGCCTTCGATGCCAAGTTGTCCGGAGTTTAGGTTGACCGGAGAATGTGAATGAAATTCGGGGCATTTTTCGATGACATTCGTCTTGCGCCTTATATTTTAAATCTCTTTATACTCCACGTTCACTTTGTAGCTAAGTTATTTTCATATGATTTGTCGTGTAATAACGATCTTGGAGTACAAAATCGTGTACAATAATTACAATAATTGATTATCATTTTTATATTTCTATTTCTTATTTATTTAATAGTACTGTTATTTTTAATAATTATTTCATTTTTTATTGCTTTAAATTATTATATTTTAAGATACTTTAGAAATGTTTATTAGATATTATACAATCAAAATATTAATCAAAGACTATATCCATAATTTTTTCACTCATTACTATAATTACATAAATTCTACGTGTATACAGAAATTATAGTTTTATTCTGATGAGATTGGTTAATAAGACACATACATATAAAATGTTTAATTATATATAAATTTTTATATCATATTCTTTATTAAGTTATAGTTTATATATTACTTACAAATATTTATTACTGAAACAATAATTAATATCTATCTTATCTTAACAATAAAATAGCAAATATATCAACTTTTCCATGAGATCATCTTTGGCATGACAAGAACTCAATGACTCACTTCTTTCACGTGACGCTTTATATATATATAATCAATAAAAGCAGAAAAAAATAAAATCAAACTTGACCTAAATTAACAAATTAAACATAAACATAAAATAATAACTATTCACCCTAAATTAATTACATAGACGACTCGCCACCATTACTGATTCCATACGATAGACTAACTAAAATTCACACCCAACTTCCTTTTTCCGGATAGCGAAGAGCTGACGAACCCCCTGACTCTTAGAGCCACACTTAGTCTCACAGCCAAAAAAAGAAGAAAGAATCAGAGGCCGATCTATTGATATCCGAATTAATCATGCTCGTCAGGTGGCAGGTCGGTGGAGGAGGTGAGAAAAGTTGGGGAAAAGAGGGTGGTCGACTTAGTCGAGAGATCGCCCGCCGACGAAATGCACGCAGCGAGCAGCAGCGAGAAACACTTCTCCTCGGAGAAGTCCGAGGGCGAGGGGGAGAGCCAGGTGTTGACCAAGATGTCGCAGACCATCACCGAGTCCACGACCACCCACAAGACGACCAAGAAGGAGTACATCTCGTCCACTACGTCCTCCACCTTGTCGAAACCTGGACAGGAACCCACCAGCGTGTCCGTGAAGACTACTGTACATAGCACGGAACAGTCGTCCTCGGAGAATGGAGCGCCTCCTGTTGTGCAGGTTTGTTAATTTTAAAGTGTACAATAAGTATAATTCTATAAGTGATATGAATAAAATAGAAATGTTTCGATGTTAATTTCGTGTGATAATTATTTGGATTTTAATCAAAAAATTTTTAAAAATTGTAAAGTGTAAAAAATAGTGATATTGGATTTTCAAACGATGTGTTTGTGAAATTTTTGTAGATACCTAAATTGAGATGAGATGAGAATATATATATATAAATAATTAGTTTTAATAAAACTAATTTTAAAGAATTATTCCAAAGAGGAAATTAAACTATATTCTGTTCGTGCATAGTTAAATTTTTTAATGTATAACAAGATATAAATTTTTTTTCTTTTCAAGTAAAAAGAATAAGAATATTTTATTTTGTAAATTTTATTATTTTTGAAACATATATAGTCTGTGATTGACAAAAAAATATATATATATTTTGAAGTAAAGAGAATTGAAAAGAAGTGAGAAAGAGAGAAATATCGAATGTTACTTTGTTTGAACAGTCGTACAAAGTCGAGGAACACGAAAAGATCATTCAAGACCAACCAGGCGAGATTCGTCAAGAAAAAACCGTGGTGATATCTCAAGACGAGGAAGGGATCAAACAAAAGGATGTCAAAGCTGCGCAAATATCGAAACCAACCAGAAAGTCGACTGCGCCGAGATTCGTTTCGCCTCTCACAGGGATGATCGTGGATCAGGGCACTGATATTATCCTCGAAGGAATTATCGATGGTAAAAAAAAAAAATAGAAATCATATTCTTGAACATATCCTCTTAACTTGTAATAATAATTGTATAAAAAAAGTATATCATGAATATATGCAAATCTTAATTCACAAATGGCCTGTGAAAACTTCACTTTTCACTATTATATAACTAAAAAATGGAGGTATCATCTTAATTTAATTAATATGGTTAGTTTTAATTTTGAACTATTAATTATTTCCTCTAATTACATTGAATATTTCCTCTAATTACATTGAAAAATAGACATGGATTTAACATATTATTAATTTGGCAAGTTGAATGATAAATTAGGAAATTTTATTTCAATTACAGGATTCCCTCAGCCTTCAATTAGCTGGTCGAAGAACGGGCAAGAACTGAAAACGAAAGATGGAATGACGATCACTTACGCTCATAATCATGTCCGTTTGGAACTGAAGAACGTAAATGTTAAGGATGCGGGACGATACACTTGCACTGCCAGCAACGAAGTCGGTTCTGCTAGTAGCACGGCTGATCTTGTCGTAAAAAGTACACAATTTGACGATTGACATACTTTCAATCGAAAGAAATCTTTTTAAAGAATTTTAAAAATATTTCTATCTTAATATTTTGAACTTGAACTTATTTTTTGATCTAATTTATTGATAAATTTATTTTTTTTATATATATATTCCAATTTAATTTTTACAACAATGATTAATGTTATTCCATAAATTTTCAGAAACGATATTCCCACCGGTATTCGGCAGAAGATTGCAAGCTCAAGTTGTGAAACGTGGAGAACGAGTCAATATGGAGGTAGAAATCACAGGAACACCGGAACCCACGGTTACATGGTTCAAGGACGATGTCCCTATCAAAGAACGTCCACCTGAATTGAGGATTAAGCAGCAAGGAAATTGTTACATGCTCATTATTGACAAAGGTAATTTCTGTCTTTAAAAAATTATTTATTATTTATTGACAATTTCAAAGTTATTAATTTTAAATGAAATGGATTTTTAGCTGAAAAAGCGCATGCAGGGAAATATATGGTTCGAGCAACAAACGCCGGTGGTGAAGCCCAAAGTATAGCAGACTTTGCTGTCTTCGAGCCAACGCCTGATACTATGACGGAAGTTCATAAAACTGTTATTTACGAGAATGTGCAAGACAAGAAAGTCACTCAGGTAATTATTTCCTCTGATTAATAATTAATCTTTCAATAAAAATTTCCAATATTTCTCGATATAAAATTCAATCTTCAATATAATTAATTTTCTAATTAAAAAAAAAAAAAGAAGAAGAAAGATTCGAGTCAACTTTGTATTTCCAAATATAGAATAATCTCTAAATAATACCTAATTTGAAATAAAACAGACAACCTTCCTAATATAAGATCAAATCCCTCTAATTATTTATTGAAAATAAACTAACAAAACTCAATTGCAATAACACCCTAAAAGTCCACAATAAATTTTGTTAAAATTCTCTATACGAGGCAAAGTATAAAGCACTGTATTCGTATTTAGTCCGACGAAAAGAAGAGAGAGGTTCCTTCTAGCAAACTTCCTTCATCAACGACGATTCAGCAGATTCCGCCGTTAAAAACGACACCTATCGTGTCATCCACCTCGATATCGGAAACGACCAAAACCGTAGAAAAGATAGAGGAGCCGGAAAGCAGGATGAGTCGTTCGGAAACAATCTCGTCCACGGTCGAATCACATCAGTCGCAATCAAAATCGGAGCAAAAGTTCCACATGAAGTTGGAGCACAAGACGCCAATCATACCAGAGCCAAGGAAGGAAGAAAAGACGATAACGAGGGAAGTGATTCGCGAAGAAGTCGAGAAGAAAGGCGCCGAGCCGAAGGCTACAGTGATCGAGGAGAGGACGAAGATCGAGAACGAAAATATAGAAACATCGACGATAGCCAAAAAGGATGCATTAAGCTTCTTCGAATCGATGACGAAGGAAACGGAAACTACGCCTAAAGGTCCCAAAGAGATGATTAAACTAGTGGACGATGCTGATGGCCACGAAGTGAAGGTTGGAAAATTGACGAAGAACTACGAGAGATCAACTACGTTCCAGGAGGTGAAGAAACCTGAACCGAAACCTGCAGAGATTCAAACGACGAAGAAAGCTGTCCACGAGATATTCACGAAATTGGAGCAAGGGAGTGCAGCTTCTCGTGGAGTTGATAATAAATTGTTCGATTTTCCGTACGAACCGTACAAGCCACCTTCGGTAGAGACCAAGAAGACAGTTGTGGAAGAAACAGTTAGCTCAGGATCGTCGTCTGTTCAAGGATCACTGATAATGTCGTCGAAAATGGAGAGCAAAGTGGAAAGTAAAATGGAGAGCAAGTCAGAATTATTGGAAAGTTTTAATTTGGTGCCAGAGCCTCCACCGGAGATTGGTTACATGCCGAAGCCGGAAGAATTAAAAAAAAAACGCCCTGAAGTATCGATCAAAGCTAAACAGCTCCAAGAATCCTTCGATAGAACCCTGTCCCCGATAGATGCGCCTGTTGGCGGTGTGAAGATTTTCCCCACGCCTTCTCCAAAGGTGGCCCCAACGTTTTCCATGCCACCATCATCCTTTGAGCTCGAGAAGAAAGAGGTAGTCGAGGAGCCTTGCGTGAGAAAGGAAATCCACGAGAAAAGGGACTACGTGTCTTCGTTCAGAGCTATGTCTCCTAGCAGACCTTGGTCATCGTCGTCTGACGTGGAAACCAGATCACACGTGTCCACTGATCTGTCAGAATACAGGTGTCACTCTGCAGCGTCGAGTCATCAAGAGATACTCAGATCTACCTCGCCCAGACCATCGGCTGACGCCTTGGCTATGGAGAAATCCTGGGCAAAGAAGTGTGCCGAGTCTAGCCGGAAATCGTGGCCTCCGCAGGAAGAGTCGAGACTCAAGCAAGAATGGCAAACCCCTGGTGAAGAGTACAAGAGTTCGTCGAAGGAGTTTAGGAAGGAAGTCGAAGAGACGCCTGAAGGCGGTATCAGAAAGACCAGCATGGAATCGTCCAGCACAACTGAGAGGCGGTCCTGGAGTTCGAAACAGGAATCGATGGAGAAGATCTCGAAGAGAGCTCCGTCACCACTGAAAACGCAACCGATCATCTACAACGCGGAAACAATTAAAGTAGATCACGTGGTGAACAAGATGGAAGAGAAATCTCTGTATGAGAAGTACACTAGTGAGAGCGACATTAAGAAGCTGGAAAAATCTGAAAAGTTCGAGGAGAAATATTCGAAAAAGTGGGCAGGCTCGGATGATTTAAAAGCTCCTGGTCTTGTCAGGAGTGTGGAACCACCTAAAAGACCCGTCATTCAATTGTACCACCTTACTCCACCTACCGAGCAAATTATTTTAGAACCTGGCCCACCTCCGGAAATCGGATATATTCCAGCACCGGTAGTCAAAGAGAAGAAGATCGAGAAGATAGAGAAGAATTTGGAAGTGTCGTTGGAGCATCAGCCAGCTAAGATCCCTCCAGGAGGAATCAGAACTATTCCTCCTGTGCCGAAGAAGGAGGAACCTCCAGCACTGCCTCCGAAAGACGTCAAAATGACTCCACCGCCAATTCCAGCCAAACAACCTATCGAACCTCTGGAACCGTTTCCATTCAAGCCTTCCCCTGCATCTGCACCGATGAAGAAGGTGCCTCCTCCACCAACTCCTACGAAATTCGTCAAAGGAAGTTTCACCCAGGAAAGCGACTATGAATCGGACATGGACGGTCACATGAAAGCAAAATGGAGGCCGTACGAGAGTGACGGCGAGGAGCCACGTTACAGAAGAGTCCAAGCTCCAGTGCCCAAGCCGACTAGACCTAGATCGACCGAGCCTGAACCACTTCCTCCCTCTAAATTCGAGGTGCCTCCATCGACTGTAGGTCCGCCTAGACCAGTGATCACCAAGGAACAACAGGAAAAAGTGTGCAAGAAGACTATCGCTACCACTGTCAAGAGGCAAGAGAGAGAGATAAAACAACAGCAGCAACAAAAGTTCCAAGTGGGCCAGCCACCTGCTATCGAATTGAAATCAGGCTCTCCATCTGTCTACGTCCAACCAGCCGCGAAGAGTCCAACTCCACCCGGGAAGAAGCCAGAATCTCCTAAATTAAAGGTGAAAACGTTCCAACAGGAAAGTGGTTACATGGCAGACACGGACGAGCCTTTCCAACAGAAGTCGTCGATTCAATCGGTGCAAAAGAGCTTTGGCAAACACGAATCTTCGTCGTCTATGACCTCGCAAACGGAGTCTCGCACTTCGTATTCTGAAAGTCGATCGGAATATTTCGAGAGCAAGAGCTACGACAGCCGACAACAGCAGCAACAGAAGAAAGAATCGTTTATCGCGCCATCCGCTCCCTTGGTTACGAAACAACCTGTACAACCACCGGTTCAGCAACAACGTAGCTCGTTCGTTGAGAAGAGCTACGTATCTTCCGCGTCCCCATCGAGATTCAGTTCCACGAAGGTTCGAGAAGTGTGTTTGCATCGCTTGATCTACATAGAGGGCAGTGTGATCGGAGTGTATTTGTTTGGAACGAAGAAGAACGGTTCTTTGTTTAATCGAATGAAGTGATGCGTCTAACAAATGTCGTTTTTTCCTTAACTTTTTGTGTTAAGCTAATGTTTGCAATGTTGTGCACTTTTAACCAATTTATTTATACAAGTACACACAAAGAGTTGGATATATAGTTCTGTTGCTTTAATCAGTTCTCAATCGGTAGATATTTTGATCATTTATTAAAATGAAATTTATATTAAAATATTAATTTTAACAGAATTGTTTAAATATGAAATGATTTTTGATACGTATTCTTTATTCTATAATAATTTCTAACGCGTTATCCGAGTTTTTTTTATTACTCGAGGTGGATATTCTAAGTTTTGAATGCCTCCATTTTATTTCGCATATATTCAATAGGGCGACATATTGAAGCATAATGAAAAATTAGAATATAGAAAATAATAAACAAAATATTTCTAAAATTAGTTGTGTAAAAACTGATTGAGAACTAATTGTGCGTTTTTGTGTTTTTCGTTACAACTTACGTTGTTTATTATTTTGTGAACGATTGAAATGTATTTACATCAAAATAATATCTTTATTTTTTCCAGGAAACTATTTATACGACGGATCAATCGCACAAGAAGCTAGAGACAACGAAAAAAATTCTGCCGCCCTCTCCGAGTCCTTCCAAATTCGTGAAGGGCGAATTTCGCGAAAGCGACTACGAGAGCGACTACGACGGCAGAATACCACCTCTTTGGAAACCGCGAGGCTATGAAAGCGACGACCAATCTTTCAGATCCGTGAAACCGAATCTCGCTGGTCCAGGTATTTATAAATCCTGACGTAAACGAGAAGTTCCTCTTACGATATTATTGAATACACACGAATTTATTAAAAATTGTGCATAGTATCAATCACACTAGTAGTTCTTTTTTCCATAAATACCGTACAAAGTTACGTCTACACTATGTAACGAAATCTTTTGTATAAGAAAATACATGTAAAATTTTAATTATAAATGGGATTTATATAATCCGTATAACTGAAACAGAAAGTTATCAAAAATCGATTCAAAATATATTGTGTTAAATAATATTTCTGCATATCTGGAATTATTACAAGAATACCCAAATTATAATTATGAGTGATATTATAAAATGATACTATTTTGTTATTTAGTGTAAACGAAGCTTAACATTTATTAAACATTGGTTATGGGAAATGTCAAAATAAGAATTGCTTTCCAACAGCGTTAAACAGAACACAATCGACTGGCCAATATCGATGGGTCTCTCACTCTATTACGACTTTTTTCCAGCTTACAACAAGTAGTCCTCCTGGCAAGCTTTCTTCCCTTCTCGTTGTTTACCTCGCAAGACAAGTTCTCCTCTCTTCCTGCTTCGCTTGCTTCTCTCTTTTCTTCTCGGCCACTCGAAGTACGTACTTTGTGTACCCCAGCTTTCTCTCCGAGTCTTTCTCCCATCATCTTTTGTGGCTAACCTTCATTCTTCTTCTTCTTCTTCTTCTTCTTCTTTTCTTCTTCTTCTTTTTCTTCTTCTTCTCCACTCTATATCACGCTGGTTTCACCCTCGTTTCAAGAGACATCCGCGTTTCGCACGATGCTTCGCGCAAAACGAAACGAAAAATTAAAAAAAAAAAAAAAAGAAAAAAGAAAAGAAAAAAAGAATTCAAACCACAACACCACGGATAATGGAAGCTCGATCGTCCATCGAGAATGAAAAAGGAAAAATTCGATCAACGACGAGTGAAACCAAAGTCGGCGCGCCCTCTGTCCGCTTATGTCTTCGCCTCGTCGACGAGGTCAGCTGGGGTCACTCATTTTGTACCGATAGGAAAGCCCAAGGAGCCTCGAGCGCCGTTCATCGAGGAGCTCGAGAAGAAGAAGGAGGACAGAGTCGCAACGCCGACCAAACCGAAAACAGTTCTTCTTCCCGGCTCTCCGCCTGAGATAGCCTATGCACCGCCTCAACCGACCTACTACGAGGCTCGATCGGGCATACCTTTCCACAACGCGATCGGTACAGAGACGAAGAAGACGGTCAGGATGGACGAGTCGACCGAGAACAGCAGAAGGATCGTCACTGTCGAGCAAACGAGTCGGGTGATCAAGTTCGGCGATCAGAAACCCACCGCCACCGACTTCAGAGGCTTCGAGGGCCCCGATCAAAGGCAGAAGGCGGCGTTCAAGGTGCCGACCCCGAAGAAGTTCGTTCAAGGTCAATTTAGGGAATCGGATTACGAGAGCGACATCGACACGAGGATCAGAGCGAGATGGGCACCGGCCGAGAGCGACACCGAGGAGCCAAGGTACAGGAAGGTCCAAGCGCCCACGACGAAGGCGCCAAGGTCGGCCAGCGCCCCTGTCAGGCAGGAACACGTGGTGTCCCCGTTGGAGTTCGACACCGGGCCACCCGTGTTGAAGAGGCAGACCTCGATGACCCAACTTCGGGACGAGGGCAGGGCAACTCAGGTGAAGAGGGATGTTGTTGGCTCGGGGCAGGAGGAGTTGCTGAAGCCCGGCTCGCCTCCGGAATTCGGTTTTATCTCGAGGAGCGATGTGAAGAAGGCGGCTACTCGTAAGGATCACGATTGATGTCTATATTTTTGCGCACGCTTGCCGGCGGGGGTTGTTTTCGTTGTTTGACCGTTCGGAGAAGATTTGTATACACATATATGCAAAGTTTTTGTTTTTTAACTTGTTCAGGGAGAAATTATTTTAAATAGAAAAGGGGAAAAAAGGAGATTGAAATCTGTTGAAGAAATTCTTTATAGAGTAATAAGATATTTTATTACTTATTATATTTTATCACTTGAGACCATTTTGAAAGTATTGTTGACTTATAGTGTCTCTGAAGAGATTAAAGAAATTCTGAAAAGTAATAGTTATTGTTGTGGAAATACTTGATAAATGATAGGATTAGATGTATACATATGTATTATAAAATACTGTAAAAGCTTTAATTTATAAAAGCAATATTTAAAATTCTGAAGAATAATTGTTGTGGGAAAGATAAACATTAGGAAAGAGTTTATTTGATAGAAATATTCGAATAATTTATTGAAATTTTGGATCTTTATCGTTAATAACCTTATTAGTTGACGCGACATAGAATATTCGTTGTTGAAAAAAAGAACAAGAAGATATAAAATAAATTTAATTATTAATATAATAGACCAAATAGTTCAGATATAGTTGTGACCATGACAATTATGGTTTAAATTATTTAAAATCAAATGAAAATAAATGAGATTTTAGATTTTATGTTTTATAATTACTAAAATGAAAGTATTGGAAAAATTAATCTTTCATTTAACAATATAAATTAAATTTGTCCATTTATTTTCATATCTTATTAGATTCTTAATATATAGAATAAAAAATATGACAAATATTAATTGATATCGAAACAAAATATCTGTTTCTAATAATTAAAAAGTATCTATTTTCATATTTTCATAATTCTTCATAGTTCAAACTAAAACTTTTATTTTCAATAACTTTTTAGAAGAATGTTCACATCAGAGAACTTATGAAAAAGTTCTTTACAATTATCTAAAACTCATATTCATTTTCATACCCGAAGAAAATTTCATTTCGTCTTTGAGATCATTCTTCTCTAACCGTCTCTCTTCCTTCGCGCGCTTTCTAAAAGAAAACAAAAATAAAGAATATCCCGCTGGCGAGCATTGTTATCCCGTAACACGAAAAATCTGACACATCCGCAGACGTCGCGTCGCGACACATGAGCGACATGACCACCAGCTTCAAGTCGAAAACCGAGAAATTCGTCAGCGACATCCAGTCGGATCTGAAGCAGGGCAAGCCGATCCTGAAACATCCGGCCGACAGTCGAGCAAGCGATGGCGACGAGCCCAGAACTTACAGAGAGGAGTCTCGACACTCGGAACATGGTAATCGATTTAGACTCTGTAATGTAATTCCAGAAATTAAATGTAGAAATTAAATGTAAATTTTAATCAATGTAATAGAAATTATTTGATTATAATGAAACCGAATAAGCATTTGCTTAAAAATGAGAAATTAAGTTTATAAAGGATTATGATGTACGATTAAAATTATTGAGAAGTAGAAAGGATACAATCGAATCCCCGATTTTATCATAAATGATTCAGGAAATATTATCTCGAAAAACCATTCAATGAAATACCCTTTATCAAAGAATACGTTAAATTTTTATCTAAAATAATATTTAAAAAGAAATCTCAACGATGCCCTTAATGATTCGAAAAAAGAATCTTTATTGCATTGTTATATTTATCATAAAAGAAGTTCAACAATGGCCCCTCCCCCTCTTCAAAAAGAATCTTCAAAGTAAAACATCTTCGAATAGAACCAACCTCGCCGCTAACAATCTACAAAAATATCATAACCAGCGCAATGAAAAATCACCAAAAATCAAATCAAAACGAAAACCAAAACCAAAACCAAAAAAACGCAGGAACGAAGCACATCGACCCAGACACCGGCCTCATATACTTCAAGTACGACTTCGGCTACGAGTTCGGGATCGTGCTCCCCGGCGAAGGCAAGAGAACAGTGACCAGCACGAACAGGACCATCCAAGGTCAACGGCGAGCAAGCGACATCGAGGTGCCCATCGTCCACGAGTTCACCACAACCAGAAGGGAGAACGGTTTCGCGAAGAGGAGCAGCTCGACGTCGTCCTCGACGCGTCAGGGCAAACCGACGGGGAAATTCGGCACTTCGAAGACCGTGAAGTGGGAGCCGACATCCGAGAGCGAGTTCTCCGAGGCGGAGGACGCGAGAAACGCGAGAAAGAGGCAGCAAGATGGCGGTAGCGCGATGGCGCCACCTAGCCTCGTTATACCTTGTTCACCATCGCCGTCCAGATGGGATCACACGACGCCCAGTCCGCTTTCCCTCAGCCCAAGCTTACCAAGTCTCTCCCCCAGATACAGTAGTGCCACAGGACCACCCAGCAACGTCGACTCCGCAGGTATTCACCTGCTTCTGCGCCGATATCAATCAGCCTATTATTTCATTTCGCGTTTGTTTCGTCTACCGAGCTCTTTATCTCTTTTCATCATTTGCGCATTCGGGTATTTTTTACTTTGTCTTTGCATCGCTCGTTAGCTGTATTTGCTTCCAGCTTAACACGTTCAATGGGACGCGAATTTATGGAGATCTTTTATTGTATGACGGATGACGTGAACGTACGCGTCATAGAGATCTGTTCCGTGACGGTTGACGCATACGGTCACGTGATATATGATACTTTTTCAGAATACACTAAAGATGGAGTTTTTCATTTTCATATTTTTGATTTTTCACTTTTTATTATTGTTTTTTTTAAAACTGAATATCTGCTACCAGGCAGAATTATTTCAATTTTTGATGCTGCATTGAATGTGTTAAATGTATAAATATTATTTTATGTTGGCTTTGGTTTAGATCGCTTTTTGCGTTTGAAAAGGGATTTGTTATTTGTTTGTGGAGGCTTCGCTTGCGAGGATTTGATTTCACGTGTATCATTTAATGATTCATTCTGGTGTGTATTTGATTTGTTACATGGAATAAGATTCATTTGGGGTGTTATTTCTATTTTTTCTACCTTATTCTTGTTTACCTCAAACGATTTTGCGAAATTCACTTATCTGTTCCAATTTCTTCTATGTTATACTTGGAGAGAAAGGAAAAAAAATATTTATGGATTTACCTTGATGTATTTGAAACGGAACACAATGTTTTACTTCTATTTTTCGTTTCTTTCACATTTTTTGTTTGTTTGCTTTTCGATGTTTTTCCTCGTGTTGAAAAATTCGAGTTTTGACCCGCTTCTTGACCAACCGTTTTTTATTCTCTCCCCTGCATCTTCCAATCTTTATCTCTTCTTCTGCTTTTCTCTTTCCCATTGAAAGAATATCGTGCATAAATATATACACGTGCAAAACAATTTCAGTTTTTTCTCTCTCTCTCTCTCTCTCTTTAAAGCAATTCTTCCAGTTCCTGCCAACTCTTGAATATCTCGATACAGTGAACACTACTTTTTTTCCCCACTATACTCGAGATATATACTCGTACGTTGTTCTAGTTAATCGAGTTAAATCGAGCTGATTATTCTAGGATCACCGTGGCCAACCACTAATGGAGTGGCCTCGAGCAAAGAAGTGATTCAGCCTTACCTAGAAATACTACCGAAAAAGGCACCCCTTTTCATCACGGTACCGTATCCACAATTAAACGTGACATTTTTATCGTTGACTCAACGGTTGATTAATTATTCACCAAATTTTAGCCTTTGAAAGATATAGCGGTGGTGAGCGGGCAAACAGCAAGATTCGAGTGCATCGTTCAGGCTGAACCTCAGCCTAACATCCTTTGGTCCAAGGACGGAAGGATTATTGAGAATTCTTCGTGCTACGAGATCCATTATCGAAATGGCGTTTGTCGTCTGACCATAGTGCGAGCTTTTCCTGGTACGTGATTAATATCATGAAACAATTAAATCATGAAAGAAGAAATTGAATTAATTTTAAATTAGAAACTTTTATATTTTATAAAATTTTGAGAAATTTTGAGTATCCAAAGTTTGATTCTGGAAATTTATCTGGGCAGATGATTTTTCATTGTTTGATTTGGCATTTTAAAAATTCACTCTTCCATTTCCAAGAATTGAGAGAGAATAATGAGGAATGCTAAAATGAGTAAAAGTTTTAATGCAAGTGCTACTAATTATGTGACAATGAGATCATTATGATAAGAATTTCATAAACAAAATAAAGATTTGTGATTTTACAAATGGTGGCCAAAAATGAAGTATTAGAATTCTTTTAAAACAATATAGTATAAAAAAAATTTCACGAAATAACAAAATTAATAAATTTCTTAGGATTTTAAAGATTAATTAGAGATTTTTATGTAAAATATTTACAAATTTTTCTTAATTATTTTCTTAATTAATTATTAATTATTATAATTATTATTATATTATAAATTACGAAACGAATTCTTCTTCTTTTTCAGAGGATGCTGGCACTTACGCGTGCACCGCAACGAATAGCTTAGGTTCGACAGTAACTTCTGCCACCTTGCAGGTGCCAGGTAATAGACGATCAGTATACGCGCCTATTTAAATATAACGGTCGAGAAGGGATTAAGTAAATAAAAAAAAAAAAGAAAAATAGAGCAATCTAATACGAAGGTGGTGGAACATTAAGCCTCTAACTTCAACCGAACTCATGACTCTCCATCATTTCGCTTAATCGATCTTTTCCATCTTCGATGAACATCGAACAAACGAATTCAACGAATACGTATATATTCCTATTATCGTATGAATTATTATCAGAGAGAAGAAAGTTTTCAATTTTTGAATGAAAAAAAAAAAAAAAAAAAATTATTCGAAAATAATCGAGGAAAGTAGAAATATATACGCTCGCATATAAACAAAAAATTATTCATGAGATGAAATGCGAGTGTAAAAAAAAAAAAAAAAAAGAAAAAAGAGAAAAAAAAGAAAAAAATGAAAATTTTTTTATTTCAAAGCAAGAAATAATAATAGCGCGTATATATTATTATTCTTTCGAAGAGTGCGACATTTTTTTTTCCTGCATTTTTTTTTTTTTTTTACGTGAAAACACGAGATGATTTTACGACAGGGGCGAGGAGAACTAGTCAAAAGTACGATAATCGAGAATAGTCGAGAAGTCGAAGAAATATATTTCGCGAACGCTGGTGGATACGCTTTTTATTTTCTTCCTTTTTTTAATTTTATTTTTCTTTTCTTTGATCAGCGCGTAGTGAGCTTTCTCGAATGCATTTTTCTCTGTCGTTGTTGCCGTGGAACACGCTTTCAATAGGTCGTTTCTCTTTGACTGATTCTATTCTACACCCTCCTCTCTTCACTCTTCACTCCCCCATCTCCTCTTTTCATCCTCTTTCATTCTCGAGCACTTTTATCCTTTTTTATCTATCTTTCTCTACTAGGCATGTAGCATACGTATTTATAATTATTCCCCCGTTTTCTCCCTTTTTTTCTTTTCTTTTCTTTTTTTTTTCTTCTTTTTTTGAAATTTTTTCGCCCGCCCTGTCTATAGATTAGAATCGCGGTAAATTTAAATTTAAATCATGACGTAACAAATTTCGTATGAGTATATAAATTTTGCAATGGACGTTATACAAAAATCAATTTATTATGAATCGAGCAATTGCAACGAGAATATTAATTTTCAATAAATTATTATAATTCGAAGTGATAATAATTTGAATCGATTAATGTACGATGTTAATGTTAAATTTTAAATTATTCAATATACACCGTGATTCTCCACGAAACAGATGCTAGTCAAGCTGTCCTCGAACAAGAGAACGATTAATTTATTTATCGAACGAGCGAGAGAAACGTTCAAGGGAAGGTATCGATTATCGATCTTCTTTCAACTATAGTCTGAGATATATAGCATTATTATTATTATTATTATTATTAGAAGAAGAAGAAAAAACGCTTCGTTGCTCAGTTTTGAAATAAAGATATATATATACACAAGAACGAAAAGATTCGTTTATTGTAATCATATACTTGTCACTCATCGCAGCAAACAATTTATTGGAAATAATGTGTAAATAAACGTGTGCTTCCTCTGCAATACAAAAAAACTTGGGTACTATGGTGTAACGAATTATTTTCTTATCCCTGTTATTTCCCACTGCTCCTCTTCTGTGTCTCTCTCTTTCTCTCTCTCTCTCTGTATTTCTATATGGCTGGTTGTTATTTCTTATGGCAATGGTGCGATTTTTTATACACACGATGCTGTGATTGAGCATCGTTGGTTATGGTTACGAAATGGTAGGTGTTTATGCTAATTTAACTGGGTATCAGCATGATGTAGCCATAAGGGAGTGGAGTAATTAACGCTTTCTCGTTCCGTTTCAAATTTATTTTTAATTTGTTAATTATAAGTGTATCGCGGATGTTTATTAATTCATGCAAAAAATTCAATGCACAAAGATTCGTGGAATAGATAACGTAATACGCGAAGAGAAATATCCATAAAATATTCAGAAATACTGAATTCTATTTGAAGATTTGAGAAATAAGTTAAATCTTTGTTTAAGATTCATTTATTTGTAATAATATAAACATTTGCAGACTAATTATAATGTATTTGTACTATTTTTAAATTCGTTCTAATATCGTGACAATAATTAATACTTCATATTAAAAGAATTTTTATATTTTGAATGATTTTCAAAAAAAAAAAAAAAGAAAGAAAAACTATTGCAATAGGATAAAAGTATTAGTATAAAATTTTTAAATAAATTATGAGGTAAAAGTTTTTATATAGTATATTTATTTATTATAATTATGATATTCAATTATAATTATTACTTATAAATTCTTTTTTGATTGAAAAAAAATTAATTTAATGTAAATTACATTAAATTACAGTTACATTACATTAAAAACAGTTAAAATATTGTCAGATGAAATTTATTAAAGGCATTAACAAGTAATCAGCACTAATAATAAATGTAAGTACAGTCATAAATTGGTAATAATAGTATAAACAGTATATATTCTAAATAATGACAAATTAGTCACGATATTGGAACCAACAAAAACAATTCGTTCCAAGCTATTACTCAAACATAATTTACATTTACTCAGTGACTTCTCTAAAAATTCTAAAATCGCTTCTCTCGACAATTCATAAAACGATAATTAAAAATAAAGTTCAATTACAAATAAAAATTCTCAGAAACTGAAAACCGACGAAATTTTTTCCAGAAATTTTTTACTCATAAATAATCGAAAATATTTTTGGATCAAATAAACCGAAGCATCCTCTCTCGAGAAAGAAAAAGAAATAATAAGAAAAATAATCATTTCTTGATTACACTAAATCGTACGTAAATTTCACAGTTTTCGTATTATTCTGTTCTGTGATACACGTGGAAAATTTACGAACAATTCTAATTCGAAGAATAAGTATCGATATATGGCTCATGAAATTATTTAAACTTTATATATATAATATTATTTTCATGAAGATGAAATCAACGCTCAAATTTTTGTTTTTTAAATATAACTTTTCAGTGACGCAAAATGTTCATAATTTATATTGCTCTATCATTTTAAAAAATAAAAAAAATAAAATTGTATTCAAAATAGAAAAAGATGTTGAAACTTTCTTCTTCTTTTTTTTAATTTCATCCCCTCAAAGAGATTTTTTATCGACAAAGAAAAAATAGCTCCACATATAATTTATTATGCTCTACATACTTCAACAAGTCAAAATTTTTAGATTAAATGAATTTCCTTATAAAATGTGTTCAAATAATTTTGCGAGCCATTTGCATATAATTTGAAAGTACTCTAATTGTGGAAACTCTCAAATATATAAACTGTCGATATGTATACCTTTTTTGACAAGATATTAATATATAAGCGTTAAGAGTTAAAAATTATTCCAGAACTCTTAACATAGTTTAGAATAGTGTAACTTTTACTCTGACAATCGAAAAAATAAAATAAACAGAATATATCGCAATAATGTATCGAAAAGTATTGTTTTCCGTCTTCATGTTCTTGTTGCATGATTAGTCACACGTATTTCAGGCATCCACTTATTTTCGGAAAGTAAAAGAAATATATAGAGCACAACGTCACTGCTTAACATTCGGATTACTAACATCATCATGGCCTCGTATAGAGCTTGTTAATTGAGCTTTTCACATTGTGGAATCATTTATATTCGTCGAAACAAAATCAAAAGGGTATTTCTGAATGTATTGTCCAAAAATATTTTTATTATAAAATTATTATTATTATTGAAATTCAATATTTTTTGGAAAAATCGTAATTGAATCGTAATTTAATATTTGCGAATATTTTAATGTCTTGAAAGAAACGAAATTTAATCTATTTTTGAGTATATTTTCGAAAAAATTATAATTAGATCATAATCGATGATCTGCCCTTCATTCTTTTTTAAAAAAATTAAAATATAAAATTTAGATTTATAAAATTCGTAAAATTAGAAAATTTGTTTAGAATATAATTTTTATATTACTTTTATTAAAAATGGAAATGTAAGGGAATAAAATTAATTTAAAAAAAAAAAGAATTTTAAAATCACCAATAGATAAATTTCATTTTTATATAAAATTTTTAATATCAAATCGTAATATTTCTTCGAAGAATATATCTCATTTTAAAATTAGCATCGCTCGATGTATATACACACGTTACATTGTCCGTAAGTTTGGAAACGCTATTCTGCTGCACTGCTTTGAATTTCGTAATATGTAAAGCAGGATACTATTACGTTCAAAAGTGATGAAATTCAGGCGTTCCTTATGAAACGTGGTAAGATAATATTCAATATCGAATTAATAAAAAAAAAAAAGTGAAAAATAAATTAATCAAATTTTCAAAATATAAAAATTCTTCTTCCAAATCAAAAAAATTGCCAAGATAAAAATTCGATAAATAAATAAATGGAAGAAGATAATAGAGAAAAATGATGTTATATAATTATACAAACTGCAATTTAATTGCATAATGGAATGACGGATAATATTTTTAGAGATTTGGAGAAATTAATATTTTCGAATGCTCGAACATTCGTATGCAGGATGAACGATTATTGGATGATGCGGTATGAAAATAGACGGTAAGGTAATCCCGGAATGCGATGGAAAATATGAGTCGACGATCCAAGAATAAACGAGAGAAAAACAAGCGGTTGCGATTGTTAAAGATCCTGTTACTATTTCTCTTTGCTTTCTTTTTTCACAAAAAAAAAAAAAAACGCGTCATAGCTGTTCGTTCGTGTTATTAAATCTCGTCTGCTCGATTCTTGCATGATTTTTGTCAAATTTTTTTTCCCCAAATGATTTTCAAGAAATTGTTGAAATTAATTAGTTAGTCGCGTAAAAATTATTATTATTAACATAAAAATATTTATATTTATTATAATTAATTATGATAATTTATTTATTTTTTTTATTTATGAATTAGTAATTGATTCTATACAAGAATTATTATATTAACTGAATGGTATAGAAATATGAAGTTAAAAGATGTAATACTTTCATGAAGATGATGAGGAGGATATGAAAATTAAAAATATTTTAGCATCTTTATGTATGTTATATTTGCAAAACAAAAAGAGATGTTTAAAGTATAGTAAAGGAATTTTTAAATACCTTATATAATTTAAAAACTTTTAAGGAATGTTAATAAGGCTATAAAGATAACAGAGTGCTTAAAGATATGTACTAATAATAAAGCTATGTCATAAAAAAATTTCCAATCTTTTAAATTTAATAGGTACATTCATAGATAGATACTTTATGATCGAACTAACATCAAAGTCGATTTAACTGAAAAAAATGATTGATATGCAATTTCTTTTGCGAGGCCAATAAAATATAAAGAACAAAAATATACAAATACAAAATAAATAAAGAATTTATCCAAGAAAAATTACTCAGTAATTATACAATCTTCACATTAAAAATGATACAATATTGTCTAAAAGATTCAATAGAAAAATAACATAAATAATAAATTCTTAAAAGTGAGACAAGCAAAGAAAATGAATACACAAGATTCGCTATACATTTTATGCATCTAAAGGATATTTATTATAAATTTAAAAATACTTATAAAAAAAGTATAAAAAAAGATTGAAGATTCATGGAAGTTTCAATTTTATAATTTTCTTTCAACATTTCTTTCAATTAGCCTCTTGAAAATTTTGTTTGTATCTAATATTATATTCAGTTGAGTGAACCTATAAAATCATTTAATAATTTTTCGTATCACATTTTAATGTATAATTCGAAAAGCATATTAATTGAAATGTCATGTTGACAGATTGTCTCGTTTCGATTCTCTCGTTAAATGAGTGACGTAACGAAAGCGGAAGTCATTGTTCGAATTACAAAACAGAAGTTTCATTTAATCGTTCCGCACGGAATTCAAGGAAACGTAATAAGATGCGATTGCAAATCTCCGGGAGGTCTGGCATGCAACACTTGGATAAAAATAGTTCTTGGTTCGACTAAATTTTACGAAAACGCTTGTTCATCGAGCGAAAACGTTGTTGTTGTATCTTCTTCTTTGCCCCGTTTGATCGGAAGTCGAGAAAACTACGAATAAAAATTTTCTATTCCAATGAAATGACAATTAATTCAACACTTGACACGATTCGACTAAGATATTTCTGATATTTCGATGAAATAAACATTTTTATCTAATTTTATTTATACTTTATTGCTGTATAATTGAATTTTAAATAAAAATAAAAATAAAAGTTGATCCAATTATTGTGGATTTTAAAAGACGTAAAAGTATTATGTTTCATACGTATTGAAATGGATTTCTTATCAGATTAATATTTGTTTGTGGTTTATTTATTAATAATTATAATTATATTAACTAATCTGTGAAAAAATATGCATGTTTATTTATACACTTGCTTCAATTGTTATTTCATGTATACTTGATTTATATTTGTTTTCTTCTTCAACAAATATTATTGCTTGTAGTTGCTTATATGTTAGATTTCATTGCATGTATTCTTATTTTGCATCAATGTAATAGAAATAAAATATTATGAAGGAAACTTGTAAATAATTCACAAGATATATTTACATACATTTAAAAAGTTAAATAATAAGTTTGCCCACTTTTCTTCAAAAGAGTGTCAAGGATAATATATATTAATTTTATCTAATCAATGGAATTGGTTTTATTTTTTTTTTTTGTTACAATCTGTATATATATATATATATATTGTATCCAGTAATTTATCTATTTTTTAAAACTTTTTTCCTTTTTTTTAAAAATAGAATCATGATACTAAATATAATACATTCATAATAAAATAATTGTTATTATGTTATTATAAAATTAATGTATAATCTAGTTTAGTAACAAATTAATTTTTTTAAATATTCGTAATGTCTTATTTAAACACAAATAGACGTAGTTAAATTTTTCATACATGTCCATTGTAACCAATCTAATTATTCTTATAATATAAATTCTTTTGTATTACATCTTTTCCTGTATGCCAAAATATATAGTGTGCAATTCAATCACTCATAGAAGTCTAAAATATAAATGTAAAATATAAAAAAAAATATTTATCCTAGTTACTTCAAAATTCAATTCAAACAAACAACACATACACATTCGTGCCTCCAAACAGAGCACACAATGCTTAATACAATAATTCCATCTCTTTCAATCATATCTCAACAAGCATATTTCCATTTTATAAAATAACGAAAATTCCAATCTCTTTCAATAGTAACAAACATTCAAATTCTAATTCCAATTTCATCTTCTATTATAAAATGTAATTCCAAGATTATCATTTTATAAAATTCGCACGAAATTAAATAACAAAAATCGTCCCTCTTTCAACCTCTCAATCTCTCGTCTCACGACAAGCGCCTGAACCTAAATTCCAGGAGTACCTTCGCCATTTTACGGAACGTACAGGGACCAAAACATCAACGAGAGGGCCATGGAGAGCCCGCCCAGGTACGTGGCTCTCAAAGACCTATTTCTTCCGCAAGAGAACGACGTGAAATCGATACCTGCGGATCGTCAACATTCTACGCGACACGATTACTCGGTCCCGTGGAATTTGAACGCGGATCCCAGGTAGGTGGCGATCGATCGCGATCGATCGTTGAACGTCGTCGTCGTCCATTCGACTAATATCGAGACGTGTTCTGGTTGATTTCTAGTTGCGCAGGTGGCGGCTATCGCGAGAGGCGAATTACGACGGAAGAATGCGAGGAGATAACGGATCGAAATACGATAGCGCGGCGACTCGGGTATTCCGATTTCGAGGCGAACGATTCGTTTCGCGATGATTTCTGCTTCGATCGCGAGTATTCCCGCTCCGCGAAGCCGAGGACGGAGGACGGAGGTAAGCTTTTTATTTATCCGCTTCCCATTCCGCGTGCAATTATTATTTTCGTTGTATTTTGTTGCTCAATCTTTTCGTGTTTATCTTTGATTTGATTCACGATTCAATTCTATTTTGGAATTATTATTTTTGGATTTTATACGTTGAATTTGTATTTTTTTCTGTGGTATTTTATTTAACGTTTTAAATTTAACGAGATTATGAGAATTATTTTTGTATCTTATCTTTAAATTTGTGAAAAAATTTTTTTCTCTTGAAAATTTGATTTTTGGAAAATTTTAACGCGTGTAAAATTTCTTGTCCTTTTTCATTTTTTACCATATATAAATTTATCTCGAATGCTTATCTTGATTTAAAGAAACGGGATGATATTTTTTATTATCAGGCTCTTATCGTGTTTTTATTAAATTAAATCTTTATGATTTTTATGAACTGTATGAATTCATGATTTTCATGAATATGAAATTTCTAATTCTAACTGTTGTTGAATAAGAAATAGTATTCTTTTCTATTTCTATATGCAAAATCGATATAGATTTTTTGATTTGGAAAAATCTATAACACTTTTTGAAAAAGATATATCTTTTTTATTAATTAAAGGAAACAAGAAATATTTTATTCCGTATTTAATAATATTTATAAAATACACAAATACATAAATACGACTTGGAAAAAATAATTATTCATTTGGATTTTCATTAATTTCTAATTTTCGAAATTAGATTCCATTGATTATTCTTCAAAAAAAATACATCTTTTTTATTTCGATATTATAAAGATAATGCACATACAACAGGCACATATATTTGTTCAGTTAAAAGTATTCGACAAATATATATTTATGTTAATTAGAAAGTTGTCTCATCTAAGCGAAATATTTGCAAAAGTACGAACGTGATCTAAATTATACTCGTTTCGAAGAAAGTGGAGAAATTCTCGATTCTTTGAAAATTCTTCAATTTCATCAAAAATCATTATACACCTCTTCCGATTACGAATCTGTAAAAGATTCACTGCGTCCGCAAAATGGCGAATCGAATTCAGAAGATCCAAAAATACACTTTGATACCACTCAACGCGTTACACTTATTCGCGTAATCGTTCTTTTTCCTTGTTTGTTTCTCAAAATCTTAATAACGAACGAATAATTCTTGGAATCGAAAAAATTCAAACTCCACCCAACGTTTCAAACAATGTCCATTCTCATTATCAAATCTTATTCCATCTTATTTCATAGATTCTCAATCTGAATCGTAAACGATGATTATTTTAATTACAATTACAATTATTCTTCTTTTCTTAATTACTTATAATTATATATAGAAAATTTTAAATTTCGTTCATTAGTATCACGAAGTGGCAAAAAAATATAATCAAATGCTACTTCTAATTTTTAATGTAGTTACATTTTTACATTTTTATGAGAGAAAGAGATCGAAAGTTATTTGACCATAGATATTATTAGCCTATCAAATAATTAAAAATGCATTTTCGTGATCTAATCATTAGATCAAAGGTTATTCAACCAATAAAAGAGGTTAGGAAACACAACTTTTTAGCAAATATCAAGCGTCCATTATTTTCAATTCGTTTCATTTCAATTTTGAAATAAAAATACATTTTTGTGTAATATAATTGAAAGGATTCATTGCCATTCGTTTTCGAGCATCGACCACAGGTTAGGAAACAATTGTTTCCAAAGAATATCGTCAACCTTTTCGCGATGTCCATTAATCTCGATTCATTGCCTCGAACACGGGGGAACGTTGCAGAGTGGCTGGCTAACCCACATTCAGGGTCCTTCGAACGATTACTCTCGGCCGTCCGCGAAAATAGCATACGTGTCGTGGCCAGGTGGGTATCCTCCGATCATTGCTGATCTCGCACGTATATACGGAGGGTAGATGGTGTGTACGAGTTTTCTGGTGGTGAGGCGTGATCGTTGAATCACGAACCACGACCACCCCTTTCCGCCACTCCGTCCCTAGAAATCCGTCAAGAACTCGAAAATAGACGCGTCGCTATGCGCTACCTTGGCGAAGCGCGATGATTCATCTGATGACCCATCTTTCGAGTGGATCGTTTCCGTTGTCCATCCATCGAGAATTTCGAGCCGTGCATCTTTCCCCTTTCTCTTCTTTCTATTTTTTTCGCTTCCACCCTAACGGATTATTTTTTAAAAACTCACAAACCTAACCTAAGGTAACCTAACCTCCAAAGTTTCGCGAGCGTCAAAACGTTTCACCAATATTTCTATCGAGTGAACACTGCCAGTTTCTAGAGTCCTGCGTGAACATAACTCTCAACGAGTTACGCGTACTTACAAGCCAGAAATAAACGAAACAAAATCCAAGTCTCATCTCCTCGATCTTTCACGTAGCCGCTACATGATAGTTTCACGTAGTGAAAAATATGAAATATTATATGAAATTAGAATTTATATTTATTCAACTCGTAATTTCGGGAACAAATAACCGTTATTCTGAATTCGCAAAGAAATAAATATTATTTTTTGAATTTATTTTCTAATTCCAATATTTTATAATGTTTCCATGCGTATATAATAATTGTATTGCCATTGAAATTATAAAATTAAAAAGAAATCTTTTAAAAATTACAGATATAAAGAAATTATGTATATTATTGTATTTAAAGATAATTATTATAATTAGTAGGTTTTTTGTATAATTTAATTATCTCTAAATACAATAATATATTTATAAATTTGTTTATTTAATAATTAAAAGGTTTTTCGTATAATTTAAACAAATTTCAATAATTTTTAACATTGTCCACTTATAAAACATTTACAGAGATCTTAAGAAATTAAATATGCATTTGTTAAACGAGATACCAGTATCATCATCTAACGAGAAAACTTATTAATTCAATAAAAAAGAAAAACGTTTTTTCTTTCTTTCTTTCTTTCAACGAAACACTGGAGAAACTCTCGGAACACAAACAATTAAACGAGAATATTCTATTTTGTCACGATTGCAAAAGATCACCGTTTTTCGCGTAAGTCCGTGTGTTCACGCGTGTGCCTCTCTCACCTCGTAACGTGAAACCGAACGCATTGTACGCTTTATACGATTCTTGCTTGCCGTAATGTCTGAATTACACGGTCGCGCAGTTTGCATTTGACCCACAACTCGCGCCTCCAGTGTCGGATTATGCAGAGGTTACCGTTTGATCATTCTCCTCGCCACTAATCGATCTACGCTTATACCATTTTATACTTTCTCTGTATAGATATCATTCTTTGTTCATTCATATCTCTTCTTCAAGAATCTACGTTTAAATATTAAACATATATAAAATCATATTATTTTCAATGTATGTAATTTTTTGTATGTTTCTTCGTCGACTGATATTTCATTTTGGAAGAAGATTATGAATAAATTGAGAATTTTCTTTTGATACAGTATTATCCCATAACACGAAATATTGATGAATTAATTAAAGATGAGTTTAATTTTTACGAAATACTACGTCTTGGTAGATTTATGTGATAGATTATGTGTATAGGGAAAAATTAAAATAATGTAGTATCCTGTTATTTTAATTATCATCTTTGGACTCTTTATTTCTATTTTTATTGTATTATCTTATATTTTATTAAATATTTATATCAATATTTTATAAAAATTTATCGATATTCTAATATCGAAAAGAAATTTTTCTAACGTTGTTTTCCTCGAACATTGTATTCTCTTCCATTTCTTATTCAATATGAAAATTTCGTATTACATCGAAAAACACATGTGCACCTTCGTTATTGCCCGCTCGAGTCTCGCTCCGATTCGTCTCGACGCTATAACGGTTGGACAGAATTTTTCGCGTATACGTGGCCGGCGTAACGAACAATTAATACAAATTGGTCGCTCGTGATATTATCGGGATAGAATTCTAGGGAAGAGTTTAGGAATGAAAACGAATTTACGACCGTTGCTTCGACGAATCTAAACGTTCGACTCGGGCTAATAGCGTGTCTGGCACGTACAATGCCCGCCCGAAACCGATAAATCGTTTCATTGTCGCGTTTTAATTTATTGGCGGAGCGAAGTGAGAATATCGGTTGGAAATATTCGACAAGTTGACCTTCGACATTATATATATTCGTTCGATCTGTTTCACTCGTGAAAATTTATGTAATTTATCGCTAGCAACAAAATAATAATGTTGAAATAGTTTTAAAATTCGTCGTTTAAAAAATTTCGAAGAGAGGAAACAGTCTTGCTTTCTACAATCATCTCTTTTCATCTGATGTAAATTGTAAATTGTTTGAAAAATAAACTATTAGATCAACATTTTTGTATTGTAGAATTAAATAGTTTAAAATTTTTAATTTTTCATTTACTTTGTTTGAATATTGAATTGTAGGTGAAAAAATGATTAAAAAAAAAACGATAAGTTATTTAGTTTTAATTATTTATGTGCAAACATTATTATGAGAGAAATAAGTGAAGATAATAAATTCCAAATGTAAATTTGTTCAATGATGATGATCAAATGTAATCAAATGTTCGAATTGTTTCTCGTACAAGAATTCTGTTCTTCTTTAAAATTCTTGAAAGTTGATTCTTTTTTTTTTTTTTTTTGAATTTATGCATAAGATAACAGTAAAATTAAAATATGTTTGAAATGCTATGATCGAAATTTCAATTACTTTGAATCTTGATAAGAAATATATGATTCAGAATTGATTCTATCATTAGAATATGATTTAACATTCAAAATTGCAATTAGCAATTTCAAAAAATATATATATTCGTTTCATTTGAAAACTTAAATGTGTATCACATTTACTTTTTATATTCATTCTTATCAAGTCCATACCAAATTCATTATTCATAATGTGAAAGCGAACTCGTTCATATTGCTTAAGATTATCGTTGATTGTAACTTATATAATTTTAGAAGACACAAATTTCATACATGACACAGATGCATGAGAACAAGAGGTTGTTCAAACCTAACCTGTTTAAATGATTTGTATT